AGTCGTGAATAAACCCATATGTGATATTACACTTTTCTCAAGGGTGAAATGACCAACAGTCGTGAATAAACCCATATGTGATATTACACCGTCCTCAAGGGTGCAATGACCAAAAAACATATTTTTGCTTCCGTTTTCGTTTAGAATGTTTGATTTAATGAACTACATAATCATGAATTCCGATGCATGATGTTTGGCCACATAACACCGCTCAGAACACAGCGCGTTGGGTATCTTTGACGCCAATACTCGGTTTCTTTCTTGACCGTAGTAACTTGATCATTTAAAGAACTATAGAGCCAGGAGAACTATTATTGCTCACAAGCAGGTAATAGTAAACTGTATGTGTCATTGTTATTGTGAAGCCTTTGTTGTCTAGTTGTATTGTTAAAGGGTTATAGATCATGTAGATAACATTACCACACTGTCGATGTCTGATAAGGCAGTGTTGTTTGTAAGGGTCATCCCTCTCATGCGTGTAACGTATGATCAGAGAAAATATAGGAAACTGTTCACGTTCATATCAGGATATATATTCACCTTAACCTTACTTGTACTTCATGCACTAATATTAATTATTCATCATTAACCCGTCATTCACTATCGAGGTCTTAACTTATACAATCAGTATTTAATACCCAGAATATACATGTAAAAACATAGTGAAGGAAGGAAAATACACAAAACTTAAATTGTATATAGAATGTTTAGATAGGTTTCCTTTGAGTCAAAATACATTTTTATAAACTCAATTATGTTTGAATGTTTATTAACGTTGTCAATAAAATGTTTGTTTGTTATAAAGTAATTAACAAATTTATTGCCTGTAATTTCTTTTGTTATAATCCTTGTAGAGACTAAGACCTCGGACGGAATCCTTTATCTCTACCGCTTCGCCATTGTTTGCCTTCCTTGTTCACCAAAGCTAAGGACATGTTTGGAAGGTTGTTGTCTTTTGTTTCCATATCATTGGTTTTTCACGACGGTAAGTTTTCTAAATGTCGCACGAGCGAATTAAGTTGTTCTTAAATTGTTTCTTGTCTATGGGATATAACGGTGATATACGCATTATCATCAGTAAATTCAACTTTATAACATATGCCTGGATTGTTGAACATAGTTATAAAACATTCCTGGATTGTTGGAAATTGTCATTAAATAATCATGGATTGTTGGACATAGTTATAACATATGCCTGGATTGTTGAACATAGTTATAAAACATTCCTGGATTGTTGGACATAGTTATAACATATGCCTGGAACATATTCCCGTTGTTATAAAACATTCCTGGATTGTTGGACAAAGTTATAACATATGCCTGGATTGTTGAACATAGTTATAAAACATTCCTGGATTGTTGGACATAGTCATTAAATATTCCAGGATTGTTGGACATAGTTATAAAATATTCCCCGGATTGTTGGACATCGTAATAAAACATTCCTGGATTGTTGGACATAGTCATTAAATACTCGTGGATTGTTGGACATAGTCATTAAATATTCCTGGATTGTTGGACGTAGTTATAACATATGCCTGGATTGTTGGACATAGTCATTAAACAATCCTGGATTGTTGGACATAGTTAAAACATATTCCTGGATTGTTGGACATTGTCATTAAATATTCCTGGATTGTTGGACATAGTCATTAAATATTCCCGGATTGTTGGACATTGTCATTAAATATTCCTGGATTGTTGGACATAGTTATAACATATGCCTTGATTAATTAATAACTTAACAATTTAATTATGAAATACTTCTGAAATTTTCCACCTCACCCAAAAGTCGTATAAGATGATAGAATACTAACACTGAGACAGAAGTCGTCCCTAGTTCCTGATTATACAAAATACAACAACAGATAAACGTAGAGAGTTGTTTATCCTTATCTCCCAAGTGTCTTTATCCCTAGGCAAATGGTTACATTAAGTAGATCAAATTTCGATACGAGAACTAATTCGATATCTCCAGAAACAAGTGTCCATTTATACCAATGTCAACACAGATAGTAAATGATGAACAGAAGATTGCAAATTATGTTAGAGTGCACGTGTTTCTTCAGACTTTCATTATCCTTACCTGTCACCAAAAAATCACGTACATCTGTTATACTCAATTACTTCCATTGCAGAAAATGTGTCCGTTGTTGATAACAATCAAATGTTCACTCCAGCATTTATACATGTTTATCGTTCTGAAAAATCAGAGTATTTAGCTGTCTATTGGCTACAACAGGCGACTTGAAATTTCCAATGATGGTGTGTAGTAATGAAAAGTTGTATTTTGTGTTATGTAATATTACCTCACAAAGATTAAAATGAGATGTAATCTGTACAGTTGATAGCGCATCGTCATGTGGAAGACCTGCTGTCGAGCCACACGAGGTCAGAATAGTAGGGGGACAAGCTACAGTACCAGGATCCTTACCGTGGATGGTAAAAATAATAGTTCTCAAATATAATGTTACTGTGGTATACCTGTCATCACATAAAATCGTGGTATACCTGTCATCACATAACATCGTGGTATACCTGTCATCACATAACATCGTGGTATACCTGTCATCACATAACATCGTGGTATACCTGTCATCACATAACATCGTGGTATACCTGTCATCACATAACACCGTGGTATACCTGTCATCACATAACATCGTGGTATACCTGTCATCACAGATGGTAACACTGTGGTATATCTGTCATCACATAACACCGTGGTATACCTGTCATCACATAACACTGTGGTATACCTGTCATCACAGATGGTAACACTGTGGTATACCTGTCATCACATAACACTCTGGTATACCTGTCATCACATAACACCGTGGTATACCTGTCATCACATAATATCGTGGTATATCTGTCATCACATAACATCGTGGTATACCTGTCATCACATAACATCGTGGTATACCTGTCATCACATAACATCGTGGTATACCTGTCATCACATTACACCGTGGTATACCTGTCATCACATAACACTGTGGTATACCTGTCATCACATAACATCGTGGTATACCTGTCATCACATCACACCGTGGTATACCTGTCATCATATAACACCGTGGTATACCTGTCATCACATAACACCGTGGTATACCTGTCATCACATAACATCGTGGTATACTGTCATCACATAACATCGTGGTATACTTGTCATCACATAACATCGTGGTATACCTGTCATCAGAGATGATAACACTTTGGTATACCTGTCATCACAGATGATAACACTGTGGTATACCTGTCATCACAGATGGTAACACTGTGGTATACCTGTCATCACAGATGATATCACTTTGGTATACCTGTCATCACAGATGATAACACTGTGGTATACCTGTCATCGCAGATGATATAACTTTGGTATACCTTTCATCACAGATGATATCACTTTTGTATACCTGTCATCACAGATGATAACACTGTGGTATACCTGTCATCACAGATGATATCACCGTGGTATACCTGTCATCACATATCACTGTGGTATACCTGTCATCACAGATGATATCACTGTGGTATACCTGTCATCACATATCACTGTGGTATACCTGTCATCACAGTTGATTACACTGTGGTATACCTGTCATCACAGATGATATCACTGTTGTATACCTGTCATCACAGATGATTACACTGTGGTATACCTGTCATCACATATCACTGTGGTATACCTGTCATCACAGATGATATCACTGTTGTATACCTGTCATCACAGATGATAACACTGTGGTATACCTGTCATCACAGTTGATAACACTGTGGTATACCTGTCATCACTGATGCTATCACTGTGGTATACCTGTCATCACAGATGATAACACTGTGGTATACCTGTCATCACAGTTGACAACACTGTGGTATAACTGTCATCACTGATGATATCAATGTGGTATACCTGTCATCACAGATGATATCACTGTGGTATACCTGTCATCACAGTTGATAACACTGTGGTATACCTGTCATCAGAGATGATATCACTGTGGTATACCTATCATCACAGATGATATCACTGTGGTATACCTGTCATCACAGATATCACTGTGGTATACCTGTCATCACAGATGATATCACTGTGGTATACCTGTCATCACATATCACTGTGGTATACCTGTCATCACAGATGATATCACTGTGGTATACCTGTAATCACATATCACTGTAGTATACCTGTCATCACAGTTGATTACACTGTGGTATACCTGTCATCACTGATGATATCACTGTTGTATACCTGTCATCACAGATGATAACACTGTGGTATACCTGTCATCACAGTTGATAACACTGTGGTATACCTGTCATCACAGATGATAACACTGTGGTATACCTGTCATCACAGTTGATAACACTGTGGTATAACTGTCATCACTGATGATATCAATGTGGTATACCTGTCATCACAGATGATATCACTGTGGTATACCTGTCATCACAGTTGATAACACTGTGGTATAACTGTCATCACTGATGATATCACTGTGGTATACCTATCATCACAGATGATATCACTGTGGTATACCTGTCATCACAGTTGATAACACTGTGGTATAACTGTCATCACTGATGATATCACTGTGGTATACCTGTCATCACTGATGATATCACTGTGGTATACCTGTCATCACAGATGATAACACTGTGGTATACCTGTCATCACAGTTGATAACACTGTGGTATACCTGTCATCACTGATGATATCACTGTGGTATACCTGTCATTACAGATGATATCACTGTGGTATACCTGTCATCAGAGATGATATTGATACGTTCTCACAGATCTAGCTCTGTGGTACTATTTAGTTAAATATTACACTTTCTGTCATTATCTTTATACTTTAGTACATGTATGATATCATGTAACTTCTTTTTGATAGGCTTGTATTTTCTTTGTTGTTGCCATGTTATGAATCATGTATATTATGTTAAATCAGATGTGTTATATAAAAGTGTTTGCGTCATTACTGATTCCAGGCTATGTTGATGGAGATGGGAGATCAGGTGTGTGGGGGAAGTATCATAGCTGACAATATCATCCTTAGCGCTGCCCACTGTTTCGAGGAGTACGTTATACCACATTTACAGTTACCATTGTAATTGTCTGTATAAGCTATTTAATTGTCTGTATAACATTTGTTATTGTCTGTATAACATTTGCTTTTGTCTGTATAACCTTTGTTATTGTCTGTATAACCTTTGTAATTGTCTGTATAACCTTTGTTATTGTCTGTATAACCTTTGTAATTGTCTGTATAACCTTTGTAATTGTCTGTATAACCTTTCTAATTGTCTGTATAACCTTTCTAATTGTCTGTATAACCTTTGTTATTGTCTGTATAACCTTTGTAATTGTCTGTATAACCTTCGTAAATGTCTGTATAACCTTTGTAAATGTCTGTATAGCCTATGCCATTGTCTGTATAACCTATGTAATTGTCTGTATAACCTTTGCACTTTGCTGTATAACCTTTGTAATTGTCTGTATAACCTTTGTAATTGCCTGTATAACCTTCGTTATTGTCTGTATAACCTTTGTAATTGTCTGTATAACCTTCGTAATTGTCTGTATAACCTTTGTAATTGTCTATTTAACCTTTGTTATTGTCTGTGTCACATACGAATTATGAGCTTATATACAGGCTGGTTGTAAGTATGTTGAATTTATATTTTATTGTTTGAATTTTGCGCCTTAATCTCGTGCGAAACTTTTAAAAGTTATCGCGCATGGGCAAAGGACGACGGGTAAGGTATTCGGGCGGACATCTTGATGTGTTGACAGGTGTGAAACATCGGGAAAGCTTTGGGAGCGTGAAATACAGCCACGGTAAGTTATATCATGTTTATTAAGAATATATAAGTCGTGTATGATAGCGTCCGTGAACGTATAGGTGTATTAGCCCGTGCGTAGCGAGTTATATTAGTATACAGGTAAAGGATGAGCGAACGCGTTATCGAGAGCGGTGATGTGTATTGCCGTGTTTACTTAAGATAGATTACAGTAATAGAAATAAATATAATCATTTCTTTATTAGTTATAATGTGTAGAATATAGCCTTATAGGGTATTATTTGTATATTGTAGCTCCATGTCATGCCCGAACCATATCATGAGCTGACGGCGAAATTTCATGTATGGAAGCCCGTAACAGCCATATGATTGTTACCAGAATGGACACTTCGTTGTCTTGTTGTTGATTATTCCTGTCGTTGTTGTACTGCATTCGGTTGAGCGATGCAGGAGTGTTGTGTTGACATGTTTTTGCGGTCATATTGAACGCTATTAGTGCATGGATGCTATGGAGGCCCAGCTGCGTGTTGTGGCGATATTATGGTCAATTCTTTAGTGATCTTCAATGATCTTTTGGTGAGATCGTCTCCATTTGTCTGATGACTTCATATACCTCGTACTACGAGATTGTGTTTTCATTTGGTGGAACTGTGCCATATACGGTCCTGTGCTACAGTCAGGAGATATGGACACTTACAGTCACTCTATGGAATGACGGAGGAGGCATCTCTACGTCAGGATCTACAAACTTTGTTGTGTGGGCTATGCAGGGGAACCAGTCGCCGGATTGTGCTCATATATGAACTGTAGGGTGTATATGGTGTATATAGGATGTGAATACCAGGAGTAGGTTAGGGTTTATAGTTTATAGGTTTAGGTAGTAGTTATTTCTGTGTAGCATCTTCATAATGGTGTGAAATATCATTATTGGCAGTATGAATCTGTGGAGTGAGAGATTTCATCATGTTAGGTATGCCATATGTACATTTTGAACAGTAGTTTTGTAAATTGTAATAAATGTAAATAGTGTAAACTGTTGTTCTCTCTTGTGTTGCAATCCATCGTCTCGGTTAGGTTACTGTCTGTATAACATTTGCTTTTGTCTGTATAACCTTTGCACTTTGCTGTATAACCTTTGTAATTGTCTGTATAACCTTTGTAATTGCCTGTATAACCTTCGTTATTGTCTGTATAACCTTTGTAATTGTATAACCTTCGTTATTATCTGTATAACATTTGTTATTGTATGTATAACATTTGCTTTTGTCTGTATAACCTTTGCACTTGGCTGTATAACCTTTGTAATTGTCTGTATAACCTTTGTAATTGTCTGTATAACCTTCGTTATTGTCTTATAACCTTTGTAATTGTCTGTATAACCTTCGTAATTATCTGTATAACATTTGTTATTGTCTGTATAACAGTTGTTATTGTCTGTATAACCTTCGTAATTATCTGTATAACATTTGTTATTGTCTGTATAACATTTTTTATTGTCTGTATAACATTTGCTTTTGTCTGTATAAACTTTGTCGTTGGCTGTATAACCTATGTAATTGTCTGTATAACCTTTGTTATTGTCTTATAACCTTTGTAATTGTCTGTATAACCTTCGTAATTATCTGTATAACATTTGTTATTGTCTGTATAACAGTTGTTATTGTCTGTATAACATTTGTTATTGTCTGTATAACATTTGTTATTGTCTGTATAACCTTCGTAATTATCTGTATAACATTTGTTATTGTCTGTATAACCTTCGTAATTATCTGTATAACATTTGCTTTTGTCTGTATAACATTTGCTTTTGTCTGTATAAACTTTGTCATTGTCTGTATACCTATGTAATTGTCTGTATAACCTTTGTTATTGTCTGTATAACCTTTGTACCGTTGTAATTGTCTGTATAACTTTTGTAATTGTCTGTATAACCTTTGTAATTGTCTGTATAACTTTTGTAATTGTCTGTATAACCTATGTATTTGTCTGTATAACCTATGTAATTGTCTGTATAACTTTTGTAATTGTCTGTATAACCTATGTATTTGTCTGTATAACCTATGTAATTGTCTATATAACCTTTGTGATTGTCTGTATAACTTTTGTAAATGACACACATTGGGCGTTGTTTAAAATATGACCCTTTTATATAAATATATAGAAATACTTATTAGTATGCTGCTGTGCTACCAGAAAGACTGACATAATAGTCTGTTCCGTATTGGTAGGTTTTAGGTTAGAAAACTGAATGTTTTAATGTTTGTGTCTTCAAACCTTGGAGTGGATGAAAACGAAACGGTATTTGAATGAAAGAAAACTATTTACATGTATATAGTGATTAAATTTCTGTTTATCTTATCATGTATTTATAAATCATAACTACAATTAAAGACGATTAAGTTTTACAATCGCTAGTTATTTAATTTGCCAGAGTTAATTTTTATTATCCTTCGATAAATCGAACAACAACCGAAAATAGATCCTTATTGAATAACACTACAACATCATTACGTTAGACAAAACTTATTTTCCCTGGATACCAGGAAACAAACTACAAGCACCGTGAACGTAAAGGTGAACTACCCTACATAGCCATCTGAACGAGGGTTCAAACTTTTCCTCATTTTACAAATGAACGCGTGTTCAAACTTTGACTTAATTTCACCAACGAGCACGGGTTCAAACTTTGACTTAGTTTGACCAATGAGCACGGGTTCAAACTTTGACTTAGTTTCACCAATGAGCACGGGTTCAAACTTTGACTTAGTTTCACCAATGAGAACGGATTTAAACTTTGACATAGTTTGACCAATGAGCACGGGTTCAAACTTTGACTTAGTTTCACCAATGAGCACGGGTTCAAACTTTGACTTAGTTTCACCAATGAGCACGGGTTCAAACTTTGACTTAGTTTGACCAATGAGCACGGGTTCAAACTTTGACTTAGTTCACCAATGAGCACGGGTTCAAACTTTGACTTAGTTTCACCAATGAGCACGGGTTCAAACTTTGACTTAGTTTCACCAATGAGCACGGGTTCAAACTTTGACTTAGTTTGACCAATGAGCACGGGTTCAAACTTTGACTTAGTTTCACCAATGAGCACGGGTTCAAACTTTGACTTAGTTTGACCAATGAGCACGGGTTCAAACTTTGACTTAGTTTCACCAATGAGCACGGGTTCAAACTTTGACTTAGTTTCACCAATGAGCACGGGTTCAAACTTTGACTTAGTTTCACCAATGAGCACGGGTTCAAACTTTGACTTAGTTTCACCAATGAGCACGGGTTCAAACTTTGACTTAGTTTGACCAATGAGCACGGGTTCAAACTTTGACTTAGTTTCACCAATGAGCACGGGTTCAAACTTTTCCTTACTTTGACAACTAAGGTTTTTTTTCTTGGAACAAACTTAGAGTGGGGAGGGGAGAGTGGGGAGGGTGTTGATTGTAATATGGTAACGCGACTTTATATATATCTTTTCTACCGGATCTTTAACTTTTTTCCTGGTACATGACACGAAGACTCGATTGGCCTATTAGATCACCTTTTTCCAGTGCTATTCGTCGTCTGCTGTATCTCTGTATACAATCGTCCACTGAACCATTTTCATTGTACTTATGAACATTTCATTTCGTCCACAGTCCTGGCAGTCTGGACCCAATCCGATGGCAGGTACGTGTTGGAGCTTACAATGTTAATTCACGGACGATCTATGAAAGTGTTCACCACGTTCGGAAAATCGTGATGCACGAGGCTTATGATACAAATACTGTAGCCAACGACATTGCCATAATGGTTTTGTCAGAGAGAATTCACTTTGATGACATGGTAAAACCAATATGTCTTCCAACAGACTCCATCCACGTAACTGAAGGGCAGCATTGCCTGTCTGCTGGCTGGGGAGAAACAAAAGGTAAGACACTCTATCGCAAACCTATCACTTATTTATTGTCTTAATTATGTTCCTGTGTTATAATTATAATTAGTGGGTATTGTGTCACTGATTACTGTGATTGTTTCGTACAGGAACTAGCTCACAGGACGTCCTCAATCAGGTTTTCGTGCCAATATTGAGTGACAACACGTGCCTGCGTCATGACTGGTACGGGCACGAATTTATACCCGCCACTACGTTCTGTGCAGGATACGCAAACGGCGGGAAAGACAGCTGTTTTGTATGTGGACAAACTTTGCATATATTTAGTTATTTTTTGTATTTATATGTGAATAACGTTGATGTACAACGATCTAAAGAATATATGTTTCTGGTAGTAGTGTGGGCGGACATGGGCAGACACCTCAGTAACAACCGCTTGTGTCACAACTTACTCTATAAATGTACTTAGTCTTAAATAAATTTAGGTTAAGATACAGTAGAGTCAGATGATGAAATAAGCTGCATCAAACAGCTGTTTCCTCCATCTTGGACTCGTCAGTGATTAGTTGAGTCCTGTTACAGTCAAATCCGACTGTAATCAATAACCAATAACGCCATGTGAGTAAAAAGTTTTGTTTGTGATCATCCTCCATCTATCTTTTTGTCGTCTTGATGAATATTTCACAATAAAAGTCAACATTATCTGGTTACCAGGGAGACAGCGGTGGGCCTCTTATCTACAGGTCTGGTGCAACATGGTATCAGTTAGGTAAGTGTAGCTTTTGTTCAGCTACATCAAAACATATTTAAATAAATCTTATCACTTGATACAACATTAATTATACTGCATACCGGATCGTTCAATTAACATGTACGTGTATTCTGACACCCAGGTATAACGAGCTGGGGATATGATTGCGCCCAACCGAAACTGCCTGGGATTTACACTGACGTCACCAAGTACACGTCATGGATACAACATCAAGCCACTGTATTTGGAGCTCATATTATAACAAACAATGGATAATTAAAATATTGTCTGAAGTTGTTTGACCTTGACATTGATATCTGTAGGAACACCTCCCCTCACCTCATACGACCTTCCTCTCAGATTTGTATATTGTTCATATTAATAATAATAATCAATAGCCGATGTAACATCGGGATGTGATCAACTTGGGTCATGTTTGACCTCCTGGTGAAATCTAAGTTTCCCTCAAACAAAAATGATTCAAGACATGTTTTTCATTTTTTCTTGGATATGACGGCAATGCAACTAGGTTAATGTATAAGATATGTATAGGATTGTATGAAAGGGATATATCAGTGTAACAAATGTTCACCATGTAACTGGTATAGACTAACATTCCCAGTTGTTGACCTTGACCTTGATGTTACTGGTATAGACTAACACTCCCTGTTGTTGACCTTGACCTTGATGTTACTGGTATAGACTAACATTCCCAGTTGTTGACCTTGGCCTTGATGTAACTCGTATAGACTAACACTCCCTGTTGTTTACCCTGACCTTGATGTTACTGGTATAGACTAACACTCCCTGTTGCTGACCTTGACCTTGATGTTACTGGTATAGACTAACACTCCCTGTTGTTGACCTTGGCCTTGATGTTACTGGTATAGACTAACACTTCCTGTTGTTGACCTTGGCCTTGATGTTACTGGTATAGACTAACACTCCCTGTTGTTGACCTTGACCTTGATGTTACTTGTATAGACTAACACTCCCTGTTGTTGACCTTGACCTTGATGTTACTGGTATAGACTAACACTCCCTGTTGTTGACTTTGACCTTGATGTTACTGGTATAGACTAACACTCCCTGTTGTTGACTTTGACCTTGATGTTACTGGTATAGACTAACACTCCCTGTTGTTGACTTTGACCGTGATGTTACTGGTATAGACTAACACTCCCTGTTGTTGACTTTGACCTTGATGTTACTGGTATAGTTCAACATTCTCAATTGTTGACCTTGACCTTGATGTTAATAGTATAGTTCAACATTCTCAGTTGTTGACCTTGACCTTGACCTTGATGTAACTGGTATAGACTAACACTCCCAGTTATTGACCTTGACCTTGATGTAACTGGTATAGACCACACTAAATAATTGTATCGAAAATTGATCACCTTTGTTAGATTTTTATAACTTTTTTGTATTTTTACAACAGTCTTTGATATTGTTAGAATCGCTGCCGAGTTCCAAATTTAGGAAATAGACCTATTTTACGATATTTGTTTTGTTTGTATACTCACTAAACGAACATTTGCCTAAATCTTTTATTTGAATGAGAAAATGTCCATTAAAAAAATAATGTTTTCCATGATCATGAAATAAAACGCCACACATCGTGATGTTCGTTCGAAAAATTACTCGATTTGTCACTGAATGCCAGGCAAGAATCGTGATGTTCCTGTTTAAAGCCAGATATGACGTCTAATATCATTGGTCTTATCCTCCCTATCTGTGTGGACAACAAGTCCGTGTTCAGTTAATCACAGACAGCCATGATGAGAACACTTATTATATTTGGACTGCTCAGCTTTGCCTTTGGTAATTTAACAATTTCATTTACTACATAGTACTACATACTGAAGATTGATACATTATTCAATAGTGTCTTTTTCTGTTACTGATAATTAATTTGTTCCTACTAACTGGATTCTGGTTACACCTTTTAGATAATAATAATAATGGACGTCTTGTCAATGTATCTCTGCTGTGTTTGGCTAATGGTACCACACAATTATAGCTTACATTCCGGAAATCAGTGTTTTTATCCGTTTTGTTTTTATATGTGCTTACTATTGAATACGTAGTCATTGTTGAATCTATTTAACTTTTGTTATTTTGAATGTTAAATGTTAAGATTGAAAACAGTATTATGGCATTATCGTATAAAAAATTGTAAATGCTCAGCTGTAAGCTCGATTTTATGCCGCTTGTATTTGTTCCTGTTACAATTCAGCCAAACCCGGTGGCAGGAAGCCACATGGACCAGCAGCTACTAGCCTACTGAACATCAACAAAAGTGGGTGTGGCACACAAACCTTTCTTCCTTCATCCACGTATATTGTCGGTGGATCTGAAGCAACACCAAACAGCTGGCCATGGATGGTATGTTTCGTCCTATGACTGTCACATATAGACGAATAAGCTAACGCATATCGGTATACCATGTCGTATGCCGGATTAAGTAATGGATACTGCTGGTGGATCATTAGTCCCTGAGGTAACCTACAAACCACGTTTTAATTCATTCGAATAGTGGCACGGTTTAGAATATACACATGTACATGATCTTGTTCTGAAATTATCTGATAAAGGAAAATACAAAATCTACTGAATTATGTGGCCGGTGCTCCTTCATACTCAGATTTGTGTGGGGTTTTTTTTACATTTTTTTGTACATTCTTTCGATCACATTGGATTTTATTTGTCACCACCAATGCTTCGAAATCTACGCCTCTAGTATCATTTACGAGTCCTAGAAGGACGACACAGCTGTATGATATATCATCACTGATAAGTCCTAGAAGGACGAAACAGTTGTATGATGTAACATAACTGATAAGTTCTAGAAGGACGACACAGCTGTATGATGTAGCATCACTGACGAGTCCTAGAAGGATGACACAGCTGTATGATGTAACATCACTGATAAGTCCTAGAAGGACGACACAGCTGTATGATGTAACATCAGTGATAAGACTTAGAAAGACGACACAGCTGTATGATGTAACATCAGTGATAAGACTTAGAAGGACGACACAGCTGTATGATGTAACATCAGTGATAAGACTTGGAAGGACGACACAGCTGTATGATGTAGCATCACTGACGAGTCCTAGAAGGACGACACAGCTGTATGATGCAGTTTAATTCATTATTTAACTCTACTGTATCTAATTCTATATTTTTATTAAGATATGTTCACCTTTGTGTCTTTCCTTCAATCTTTGAGAGAAAACCCATGTAGTTCACAGTACCTTGGAATATGCCGACATAAGTGTTTATTTTTACGACAAGGTCATCGATAAAAAGTGTGTATCGTATATCTCATGTACGTTACATATTTAGGTCTGTGCTAGTCTGAGGCACGGACTAGCAATTGTAAAAAAAAGGGTAGCGTAATAATAAACAAGTTTTGAAGTCATATTTCACTTTTCATTTGTCATATTTCACTTTTCATTTGTCATATTTCACTTTTCATTTGTCATATTTCATCATAAGATGTTTATTATAACTGTAATACAGCTATTCAGATTTTTTTTGTGTGTATTTTGTAATGGAGTTGATGTATATTCTGTGCAATTTTCTAAGGGGCGAGCATTCAAATGTTTTGCCTGTTACCCAATTCCTTTTGTTTTAAGATCATTGCAATACGATTATTCTGGAACGGAAATCTATAGTTCCGTTTGTCATAAATACGGTATGATATGCGACTAAATTTGGAAAGAGGTATCTGTTGTTCAGCGTTTGTCAGCGTTTTAGAGAATTTTGATAAATTTCTGCTTATCATTGAAGTGTGACCCGATCTAATGGCGTGTTTCTGTGACCACCCGATTGGTCCGAGGAAACTTTGTCATCTTTCATTCTTTTATTTTTAAAGGGAATCGTATGATCTTTTTTGTGGTGGTACCTATCGAATAATGTAAGTTCGAAACGTGTACAAAGTATTATTTAACTGTCAGAGTTTTGAGACAGAACGTTGTCACATTGACTTCTGATTTCCATTACAAGAAATCTTTTGCCTAAGTCCTTATGTTCAGGCCTTTTCCTGTAGCTGATTTACTATTTAGGCTAAACGTACTCAGTACGCATAGCCTATTGCTATGGCCTTTCAGACAAAATTTACCGATCCTGGCCTTCCCATTGGCTGAAATATCGAAAAGAGTTAGAGCCCTCTAGCGGCAATTTTCTGCGTAAATAATGCCGCGATGTTTCAAATCGCTAGTTTAAAAGCATCAAAAATTAGTTTATTTTTTTAATAACAATACGATTACTATATATTTCAAAAAAGAAGCACAGTGTGGTTGAACTATTGAGAAATTTTGAACAATATATTTTACGGAATTCTCGACATGACGTAAGCGTACAGAACACTGCACGTGCGAGTTGATAAGAAGCTAGTCTGGGGGGGGGGGGCTTGGTTTGAATTATCAACTAACAACACTTATAAACAAACAAAACTTACAAACAGAACATCAATTTTGTTTTAATCCTTGTCGTTGTGGCAAGATAGTCTTAATATACAACATCACTTTACCTCATTAGACGTCACCGAATTGGACTGTTCGTCCCACGCGTACACCCGCCGATATGACACTTTTCCAGGTTTTTCACACCCACCGCCATGACACTTTTTCAAGTTTTTGAAGATAAAAAGTTTGCGCTTCGTAGGCAAGGTACAATTGGTGCTCATGATTTATGAATAATATATTTTTAATACTGTACTGATCATGATGTTGACTCTGTTATAACTTATATTTTTTGTCTTTTAGTTTTATTTGATGAAGGTTGATTGTGCTGATTTCTCAAGGTTTGTTAATGTGTATCAAAGTTCCTTGAAATAAAAATATTCCTTCAAACAAAGCGCGTATAAAAAAACCAAAATATTCATGTTTATAATTATCAATTAACTAGAACGAAATATTTCCATAACATATCTATTCATTTAGCGTGTCATGGTGACATTATCTAATGCATTGGAGATCAGAAATAGTAGTAGCTATAGTGAAAATATTGTAAATTTTGTATATATTTGGAAGTCTGGTATAATCTCAAAGAACTATGTCTTTATCGACATAATTACTGGAAGAAAAGTCTAACCATGATACTTCAAGGGAGATAGGCATGAAAATACATTTAATGTAATTACTTACACTTTAATCGATTTGAAATGCTGTGTACACCTTATCTACTTTCCTCAACTACAAATATTATTATAATAAGTAAGGACTATTACTTTGCAATACGTTTAAAAGAAGTAGGTATAAAGTCCTCATATTGATAGGATAGTAATTGCAACATTTTGGGTATTTCAAAGGTTTTATTCAACTTCATCATAGAGCTATTTATCATTTGGCTTGTTGGCGATAAATATATAGTTGTGTTTATTTTGTTATTTTTTTTAGGTCATCGGACCCGAAGGGTCCGATGACCTATAGTCATCATGCTTCGTCCGTCGTCGTCCGCCGTGCGCCGTGCGTCGTGCGCCGTGCGCCGTGCGCCGTCCGTAAACTTTTCATTCAAACGACTTCTTCTCAAATACTAGAAGGTCTAGGGGGCTAATACTTGGCACAGAGGATACTGGCATGGAGCTCTACCAAGTTTGTTCAAATGAATGACCTTGACCCACTTTAAAGGTCACAGGGGTCAAATATGTTAAAATCTTTAAACAACTTCTTCTCATTAACCAAAAGGCTCAGAGTGTAGATATTGGGCCTGTGACATGCTGGGATGAAGGACTACCAAGTTTGTTCAAATGAATGACCTTGACCCACTTTAAAGGTCACAGGGGTCAAATATGTTAAAATCTTTAAACAACTTCTTCTCAATAACCAAAAGGCTCAGATTGCTGATATTGTGCCTGTGGCATGCTGGGATGAAGGGCTATCAAGTTTGTTTAAATGAATGACCTTGAACAACTTACAAGGTCACAGGGGTCAAATATGTCAAAATCTTTAAATAACTTCTTCTCAAATACTAGAAGGCCTAGGGGGCTAATACTTGGCCCATAGCATGCTGGCATGGAGCCCTACAAAGTTTGTTCAAATGAATGACCTTGGCCCACTTTCAAGGTCACAGGGGTCAAATATGTTAAAATATACAAAGGACTTCATCTCAATAAGCAAAAGTCTATGAGTGCCGATATTGGGTCTGTAGCATGCTGGGAGGAAAGGCTACCAAGTTTATTTAAATGAATGACCTTGAACAACTTTCAAGGTCGCAGGGGTCAAATATGTCAAAATCTTTAAATAACTTCTTCTCAAATACTAGAAGGCCTAGGGGGCTAATACTTGGCCCATAGCATGCTGGCATGGAGCCCTACAAAGTTTGTTCAAATGAATGACCTTGGCCCACTTTCAAGGTCACAGGGGTCAAATATGTTAAAATATACAAAGGACTTCATCTCAATAAGCAAAAGTCTATGAGTGCCGATATTGGGTCTGTAGCATGCTGGGAGGAAAGGCTACCAAGTTTATTTAAATGAATGACCTTGAACAACTTTCAAGGTCGCAGGGGTCAAATATGTCAAAATCTTTAAATAACTTCTTCTCAAATACTAGAAGGCCTAGGGGGCTAATACTTGGCCCATAGCATGCTGGCATGGAGCCCTACAAAGTTTGTTCAAATGAATGACCTTGGCCCACTTTCAAGGTCACAGGGGTCAAATATGTTAAAATATACAAAGGACTTCATATCAATAAGCAAAAGTCTATGAGTGCCGATATTGGGTCTGTAGCATGCAGGGAGGAAAGGCTACCAAGTTTATTCAAATGAATGACCTTGGCCCACTTTCAAGGTCACAGGGGTCAAATATGTTAAAATATACAAACGACTTCTTCTCAACAAGCAAAAGTCCATGAGTGCTGATATTGGGCCTGTAAGATGCTTGGAGGAGAGGCTACCAAGTTTGTTCAAATGAATGACCTCAACCCACTTTCTAGGTTTGGCTTGCTTTTTGTCAGATGACCGTTAAGGCCCATGGGCCTCTTGTTTACCTATTTTGATTTGTTCACATTATTGTCGTCAAATTTGAAATAAGAATAATAATGATGATAAAGAAGAAAAATAGCCTCTAGTTCTCTTATTTTAGTAATTTTTGCATTCCAAAGTGTAGGAGTATGGGGAAAGTAATACAGCTCTCAGTACTTTCAGTACTTTTATTTTCTATTAAGCTACCTCCTCACTCAAATTGTTTTCGTCTCTCCGTGTCGTTACTGTCTTAGAATTTAGTCCATAGATATTTCTTGTTATGTTTGGAAGCAACGTTCTTGTTCTACACGACTGGAAGAGAGAACGGCACCAGGCTAATTACGAAAAGTCTTTTTTCATGTTCAACCTAAGCTTAGCTGTTAACACTACTCATATTTTAGGCACTTTTGGAATACAATGGCTACCATGTGTGCGGTGGAACATTGATATCTAACAGACATGTAATGACGGCGGCCCACTGTGTAGAGGGGTACGTACCTTCGTCATCATACTTTGATATCTGACCGACATGTACTGACGGCGACACACTGTGTTGAGGGGTACGTATATATAGCATCATACCATGATATCTGACCGACATGTACTGAGTGCGGCACACTGTGTAGAGGGGTACGTATATATAGCATCATACTTTGATATCTGACCGACATGTACTGACGGCGGCCCACTGTGTAGAGGGGTACGTATATACGTCATCATACTTTGATATCTGACCGACATGTACTGAGGACGGCCCGCTGTGTAGAGGGATACGTATATATATCATCATACCATAATATCTGACCGACATGTACTGACGGCGGCCCAAAGTGGACAGTGTTACTTACCATATATACTGACCGCACATCGCGGTACGCATCTTGTACTAGTTTGCCAAATTCTGCAGAGATAGTTGAAGATATTGACATTTTTAGTACAATACGACACTTTTACAGGACAATGGGTGTTGCTTCCAAGTGGACCGTTCGACTAGGTGTTCACGATAAAACCAGTTCAAATCCCCATGAGCAGAGCGCTTTACTAAGTTCCATCACCAGTCACAGGCGCTACAGTAGCGCTAACATCAACAATGACATCGCCATCATGGAACTCAATAGTCCTGTCACAATCAACGATTACGTCACCCCCGCTTGTGTGACAGACACGGATGTGCAGGCGGGAACTAACTGTGTTGCTGCTGGCTGGGGAGACACACAGGGTAACATTATTTCGGGCTTGTCAAAACGTCTTTACAAGTGAAAAGCTGGAAGTTAAACGTAATATCATATTGTGTTACCTTATGTTACATGTGTAATAACAGTGGTACATTTTCAAGTTTGTTACTGGTATGTATAGTTACATGTATTTAACGCGCGGCCTATGGAATATACGTGATGAACCCTGACACCTTTATCAGAGTGTCAGGAAACATAGCATTTCACTTGTTTTTCTTTATAGAAACATTTGTATGATACGAGACAAACATATTTCTTTTTACGGTATTCTCATATCTGTTCGAACGCTTATACGAACTGGCATATTTAAAACGAAGCAACTGGCGGAAATAGGAAGCATTTGTTCCAGATCACGGCTTGATTTTAAAACCGATGGAACTATCTGTTTTGTAGCAATTGTATAATTTGGTGTGTTACGACAGGTGACAGTCCCTTGTGCTCTGTTTCACTGTCGTGACGTGCTCTATATTTCCTCTGTATAAACTATCATCTGACGTGTTACGACAGGTGACAGTCCCCTGTGCTCTGTTTCACTGTCGTGACGTGTTCTTTATTTCCACTGTATAAACTATCATCTGACGTGTTACGACAGGTGACAGTCCCCTGTGCTCTGTTTCACTGTCGTGACGTGTTCTTTATTTCCTCTGTATAAACTATCGTCTGACGTGTTACGACAGGTGACAGTCCCCTGTGCTCTGTTTCACTGTCGTGACGTGCTCTATATTTCCACTGTATAAACTATCATCTGACGTGTTACGACAGGTGACAGTCCCCTGTGCTCTGTTTCACTGTCGTGACGTGTTCTTTATTTCCACTGTATAAACTATCGTCTGACGTGTTACGACAGGTGACAGTCCCCTGTGCTCTGTTTCACTGTCGTGACGTGCTCTATATTTCCACTGTATAAACTATCATCTGACGTGTTACGACAGGTGACAGTCCCCTGTGCTCTGTTTCACTGTCGTGACGTGCTCTATATTTCCACTGTATAAACTATCATCTGACGTGTTACGACAGGTGACAGTCCCCTGTGCTCTGTTTCACTGTCGTGACGTGCTCTATATTTCCACTGTATAAACTATCATCTGACGTGTTACGACAGGTGACAGTCCCCTGTGCTCTGTTTCACTGTCGTGACGTGTTCTTTATTTCCTCTGTATAAACTATCATCTGACGTGTTACGACAGGTGACAGTCCCCTGTGCTCTGTTTCACTGTCGTGACGTGTTCTTTATTTCCACTGTATAAACTATCATCTGACGTGTTACGACAGGTGACAGTCCCCTGTGCTCTGTTTCACTGTCGTGACGTGCTCTATATTTCCTCTGTATAAACTATCATCCGACTTGTTACGACAGGTGACAGTCCCCTGTGCTCTGTTTCACTGTCGTGACGTGCTCTATATTTCCACTGTATAAACTATCATCTGACGTGTTACGACAGGTGACAGTCCCCTGTGCTCTGTTTCACTGTCGTGACGTGTTCTTTATTTCCTCTGTATAAACTATCATCTGACGTGTTACGACAGGTGACAGTCCCCTGTGCTCTGTTTCACTGTCGTGACGTGCTCTATATTTCCTCTGTATAAACTATCATCTGACGTGTTACGACAGGTGACAGTCCCCTGTGCTCTGTTTCACTGTCGTGACGTGCTCTTTATTTCCTCTGTGTAAACTATCATCTGACGTGTTACGACAGGTGACAGTCCCCTGTGCTCTGTTTCACTGTCGTGACGTGTTCTTTATTTCCACTGTATAAACTATCATCTGACGTGTTACGACAGGTGACAGTCCCCTGTGCTCTGTTTCACTGTCGTGACGTGTTCTTTATTTCCTCTGTATAAACTATCATCTGACGTGTTACGACAGGTGACAGTCCCCTGTGCTCTGTTTCACTGTCGTGACGTGTTCTTTATTTCCTCTGTATAAACTATCATCTGACGTGTTACGACAGGTGACAGTCCCCTTTGCTCTGTTTCACTATCGTGACGTGTTCTTTATTTCCTCTGTATAAACTATCATCTGACGTGTTACGACAGGTGACAGTCCCCTGTGCTCTGTTTCACTGTCGTGACGTGTTCTTTATTTCCTCTGTATAAACTATCATCTGACGTGTTACGACAGGTGACAGTCCCCTGTGCTCTGTTTCACTGTCGTGACGTGTTCTTTATTTCCTCTGTATAAACTATCATCTGACGTGTTACGACAGGTGACAGTCCCCTGTGCTCTGTTTCACTGTCGTGACGTGCTCTATATTTCCTCTGTATAAACTATCATCTGACGTGTTACGACAGGTGACAGTCCCCTGTGCTCTGTTTCAGTGTCGTGACGTGCTCTATATTTGCTCTGTAGGAAATGGATCCTCTAACATCTTACGACAGGTAACTGTGCCCATCATTTCCCAGGAGATATGTTCTAGTGCTCAGTACTATGGCAGATACCTCAACACTAAAACTATGCTGTGTGCTGGATATGAAGAGGGCGGCAGAGACGCCTGTCAGGTGGGTTCTAATTATAATTGTTTTCGGTACAGCGAGTACAATTATAGTATTATAAATGTAGCCAAGCATCGACATTAACAAACACCAACACCGTCATACGGGTATGTGTAGTACTGTTTAATCGGACAGGATGATGTTGCCATTTTAAAGATGTGAATTCAAATCCCAGGCAAACTTAAGACATTTTCCAGTTATTTCAATGATGCCACATGTAGACAATTTTTCTAATGTTTTATGTGGATAACATGGTGTCATGTTTAGGAATAGGTGTGATGAGGGAGACCGTCACTTAGTTTTCTCTTATGTAGCTTACGAGATCATAACTAGCTGCTACATATGATTTATATTCAGGGGGACAGTGGTGGACCCTTGGTGTGTCCTACTGCCGGAAATACATGGACCCTTACAGGTGAGTCAGCCTATTAAACTGGTATACACATGTAGTTGATACATGTAAGACAATTGTGTTACTGATTTGTCTTATCTGCATAACTTCAGGGAGACGCGGAATTAAGGGATGATCACATTCATCATATCGTCTATTCTTATCCAACTAATAATTTAAGAATACTTTGATATCTTTTATTTGTACATGTACTTCATTCCTAGAACTTCATTCCTAGATGTTAAAGCGTGGCGGTGATGAACATTTGTTTTAGGTATCACAAGCTGGGGATTCGGTTGTGCCGAGGCCTTCAGTCCCGGAGTCTACACTCGTGTGTCCAACTATTTCGAATGGATCTCCAACAACACGTCATGAGTTGTTCAATTTTACGAAACGAAATAAAAAAAAACGTATGGCTATATCTATGTTCTATTATCATTAACAGTTTTGGTTAAATTATACCGGTATATATCTATGTTAGGTATATCCCAGTTCCTCAGCAGGTGTCCCTCCCTCCCCGAAATCGTCAGTAACAACATATCACTGGTGTCCCTCCCTCCCCGGGACCGTCAGTAACAACAGATCACTGGTGTCCCTCCCTCCCCGGGACCGTCAGTAACAACAGATCACTGGTGTCCCTCCCTCCCCGGGCCCGTCAGTAACAACAGATCACTGGTGTTCCCCCTGAGACCGTCAGTAACAACAGATCACTGGTGTTCTCCGAGACCGTCAGTAACAACAGATCACTGGTGTTCCCCCTGAGACCGTCAGTAACAACAGATCACTGGTGTTCTCTCGAGAACGTCAGTAACAACAGATCACTGGTGTCCTCCCGAAACTGCCGGTAACAACAGATCACTGGTGTCCCCCCCACCCCGAAAATATCGGTAACAACAGATCACCGGTGTCCTCCGAGACCGTCAGTAACAAGAGATCACTGGTGTTCCCCCTGAGACCGTCAGTAACAACAGATCACTGGTGTTCCCCCTGAGACCGTCGGTAACAACAGATCACTGGTGGTCCCTCTGAGACCGTCGGTAATTGTTGACATTCCTTCGCGACTGTCAGTTAGAACAGATTCCCAGCTTGTATTCTTGTGGAACCGTCAATACTAACGGTTGTCTGGTAATTCTCAACGACCACCAGTAACTTAAACATTCTAGTGTTACTCTGCACAGCGTTAGCATTAGATCGCTGATGTTCCTCTGTGACTCTCATTAACAGTTCCTCCGCGACTGATAGTGACAACAGATGATTGAAAGTCCTTCGAGGTCGTCAGATCTCCTTCGTTCGTCGGCAGATATCTGGTCCCCCGAGACGGCCAGTAACATCAAATGTCTTGTGTTTTCCCGCATTTTTCCGCGACTGACAATGACATAAGATGACTGCTAATGTTCTTCAACAACCTTAAGAATCAACAGAAACAGTAAGTTTGTGTACCTTAACTCTTTAATATTAACTCCAATTAAAACTTTTGTAACAAAACAAAACAATGATCAACATTGCATTCTAACAAACATCATGATATCTCAGTGCTTTAGATTAATATATTTCTCAATCCTTATCACAGTCAAACTAAGAACAATTGTTTTCTAGATGTGAAGCTAAGTATATTGAATCAGCTGCCAAGTTTTTACTTTGAGCCGATGTACAATTTCCATAGTTATGAGACATTTAAGAAGTATGCATTTACTTGAAATATCTAACATTGAAGTATCCGACCCCATTTTTAACACTTTCGGTATCGAAGGGGTCACAACAGCTTCGTCACCCGCCTACGGAACATCAGGTGCGCGGTTCGACTCTCCCTACCCGTGTTTTACAGAAAGCTGAGAAACGTGACTCTAGATGTTATCGAGGCTGTGTTCTTGGACAAGACACTTTATCGCAATCACACAGGATGGCATGCGATTGGCCTACCGTATGCTGTTCAGCGAGATAGCCAGCAGCTAACACAAGGTGGCCCTGCCTCTAAATGCCCCTTGGCTGTTGGCGTGGCAACACAGTAAGCAAGCGAACAATCAACCCAGTGTCGTGAAGAATCCCGTCTGTTAACCGTTGTTTAATATAGTGTAACGCCCCCACCACTACCTACCCTTATAATACTCCGTCCACTTGACACCCCATGATATTCCCTCAAACCCCTTCTACTCGCCATCTAATAATATACCCTCTACTCAGGACCCCTATACTGTTTTCTACAATAGCCCTTAATACGTATCCACTCGCCATCCCATTATACACCTCCATTTGCCACCCCCATAATGTCCATCCACTCGCTACCCCCAAAATGCCCATCGAATCGCTACCCCAATAATACTTATCCTCTCTCCAACCCATAACTCTCATCCACTCGCTACCCCCATAATACCTATCCTCTAGCCAACCCATAATTCTCATCCACTCGCTACCCCCATAATACTTATCCTCTCTCCAACCCATAATTCTCATCCACTCGCTACCCCCATAATACTTATCCACTCGCTACCCCTATAATACCTATCCTCTAGCCAACCCATAATTCTCATCCACTCGCGACCCCATAATACCAATCCACTCGTCACCTCAATACTACTCCTCTCTAGCCACTCAAATAATGCATGTGTAACTTTCTACTCGCCATCTCCATAATATCCATCCACTCTCAATCCCTACAATGCAGATATACCCTTCCACTCTCCACTTCAACCATACATGTACCCATCCACTCGCCACCCCATAATACCCATCCACTCGCCACCCCATAATACACATCCACTCGCCACCCCATAATACACATCCACTCGCCACCCCATAATGCCCATCCACTCGCCACCCCATAATACTCATCCACTCGCCACCCCATAATACTCATCTACTCACGATCACTACAATGCAGATGTACCTTTCCACTCCCCACTTCGACAATACATAAACTATAACATTTACTTCACTCTCTCACCTACAATACCCCTCCACCCCTTCAATATCCCTACACTAGCCACCCCTATAATACTTCACTCTCTCCACTTGCCTACCGCTCCAGTGTAATACGAATTCCATAACATTTATTGTGCACCATCGGATTTGATCTTGATAGAATTATAAAACATCAGATCTACAGACAATATTGGTACTCCTCCTAAACACATAAGAAGGCGCCTGTTTCTATCGTATATGCAACTTATCTTTTCCTCCATGTTCTCGTATAACATATGTATGTAATGGTAGAAGTGACCCGTCTAACCCAAATATGCCGCTATTTTAGCAATTTACATGCACGCTACAAAAATGCTTTCATAAACATGTTTAACTAACTCTTTGGGAAAATCTAAAAATCAGGCAAAATAAAGATTCTGCAAATGTCAAATCATTTAAGTTTTATAATGAAATCACATCTAGATAAAGGCAGTGTACATATAATTATATACTGTCGATACATCAGTGTTACAGGATACGCTTCTTTATTATATTACACTCTAACAAGGCAATTTTCCGAGATGCCCGTAAACAAAGTGTGAAATTAAGAGAACACAAAAACTTTTATGATACGAATGATGTAAATGATGTTTCATAATGTTCATAATGATTTGTCCATTTCCAAAGCATAAAAGTTTGGCATCGAAAAAGCTATTTACATGATCCTTACAACGACAAATAATTCATGTTCTCATTCACAAAAACACGTACACAAATATACACATATATATGATTATTTACGGTGAAGACGAATCGTTCAGTAGACGCATCATGAAATCCTGATCCTGAGATCTGCATTGTTTCACTAAATATTTAAACAATGTATAGTTTTAATATCAACTTCAATAAGATATATATTTGTAAATCTGTAAACCAAACCGTGCAAGACTATATGAAAATAACGACACTAAACAGGACTCTCTCTCTCTCTCTCTCTCATTTGATATATTACCTTTATCAGTTTTTTATTCCATGTCCCTTATTTGGATTTGACGCACAGTTACTCTATTAAATGTTATATTTTCATAACAATTCAATCCTTACAAAGTTTGTTATTTCAAGATGAATTTTACAAAAACACACCGGCATACGCTACTTTGTGAAATATAAAACATCGATGTAGCAATGGAATATCGTATTTATCGTCGATAATCATACATAGTCGACTTGATATGGTACACTGTATGCTTGTCTGCAACGTGTGTCATTTATAACACCTGTAAATGCCATATAAAGAAAATTCATTGATTACAATTCCTACCCGTTTTTTGGCTTTGTTACATTTTAATATGATGCACAACTGCATTCTAAAGGAATACACGTAAAACCGATGACGTCATTTTTAACGAGAACAATAACTTTGTCTCGTGGTTATGTATACACTTACATGAATGACGTTTTATTGGTCACGTGGACAATCGTATTTACTGTGTGACAAATTCTGTCTGATTATTTATTCACATTTGTGACATACAACTACCTCCTGTAAACTGTCCTCTGATAATAGGTATATATATTACCACGATGATAATATCTCCGTTAAAAGTCAGTTGATAGATATATATATTACCACGATCATAAGTAATATCTCCGTTAAAAGTCAATTGATAGGTATATATATTACCACGATGATAACATCTCCGTTAAAAGTCAATTGAAAGGTATATATTACCACGATGATAATATCTCCGTTAAAAGTCAATTGATAGGTATATATTACCACGATGATAACATCTCCGTTAAAAGTCAGTTGATAGGTATATATATTACCACAATGATAATATCTCCGTTAAAAGTAAATTGATAGGTATACATATTACCACGATCATAATTAATATCTCCGTTAAAAGAACAGACCCAATATAGTATCCCTCGGACGATTCCAAGTGACAACCAGGTCAAAGGTTATAACCGAATAACAGAAATATTATGACCTTCGTGTATAAACCATCATGTTACATTGTAATGAGACATGACTATTCCTCGACGCATTTATCACACTGTTGCGTTAAGAATCAATATTTGTTCATCTGTTATGAATAAAGTTGATGTTCAAATAATCTGGGTCAAAAGTGATAACATTTTCCATCAGTTACAGGATCGACGCTTACCTAAGTGGAACTGGTATGACCTTCTATGACGCACGTCTTATCTTATTCACAAATATAGCACTTAACAGAAAATACACGGCAGTTACTGCAAATAATATTACATATCCCAAACCAAATTTGCAATCAACACTCTCAAAATAATCCAGGATGATGCCACCAACAGGCGTTGCTAGGGCGTTAGGGAGAACTAAGGCTTGATGCCACACCGCGATGTGGTTAGCCTTATCTGTGTCATCCTGTAGTACATCCATCACAAGTGCGAAGTCTACAGACTGGAATGAACCGAAACCAATTCCTGAAAAAAATCGAATACATTGATATTTTAACTTATGCTAAAGAAACAGGCTGGACACGTAAGGTATACGAAACACATTAATTACACATGTGTGAACATCAGAAAGAATTACAGCTATTAACACCAGACAGGTTTTATAATAGTAATTCAAAGGAGAGAAAAAATGAGAAAATTGAAAAATAGCACATATGTAAAACGTAAATTTACACTTGATTAAAGCCACGACTCTCAGACATATTGTATTACAATATTACCTTTTTATAGTTTATACTCAATATCACTAAAACGTATTTTCCCACTATTTGTTCTGCCAATATATTACTAGTTTTACAGAATTTTGTCACATTATACACCATATCCATGTCCGATATGCACCGATTTGTCCTCTATATATAGTGGAACAGTAAACCGTCAGCTGTCGTACATACCGAACAGGAAGGCCATGACGAGAGCGATGAAGTAAGCACTATAGCCACTTATGTAGGTCAGCGTAGAAGTGCTAACAGACATAATCAGAGCTGGAACAGAACACATCATATCATTACGTCAGCATAAAAGTACTAACAGACATAACCAGAGCTGGAACAGAACACAACATATCATTACTTCAGCACAGAAGGACCAACAGACATAATCAGAGCTGGAACAGAGTACAACATATCATTACGTCAGCATAGAAGTACTAACAGACATCACCAGAGCTGGAACAGAGTACAACATATCATTACGTCAGCATAGAAGTACTAACAGACATCACCAGAGCTGGAACAGAACACATCATATCATTACGTCAGCATAGAAGTACTAACAGACATCACCAGAGCTGGAACAGAGTACAACATATCATTACGTCAGCATAGAAGTACTAACAGACATCATCAGAGCTGGAACAGAACACAACCTATCCTTACTTTAGCGTTTCATAAGATTTGACCACACCGCTACATATCCTTACTTTAGCGTTTCATAAGATTTGACCACAACATTACATATCCTTACTTTAGCGTTTCATAAGATTTGACCACAACATTACATATCCTAGGTTTAGACTTTTTAAACAAACAAGTGATATCTATAATGTTTTAGAACGTGTTCAACACATCCGGACTTAGTTACCTGGTTGTATAATTTTCTCTTGTTGTTATGAAAGATTATAAACAGTTTATTGTCCATACATAAAACTAGTTTTTGTAGTTGCATGATAGTAAGTGTATTATAGTTACCTGCAATGATAATCATAGGTTTTCGTCTCCCAAATCGATCTGATATCACCCCGAAGATTATAGAACTGAAACGAATATAAAAATAAAGGTCAATCGATTCCAACAATTCCAAATGAAAGATATTCAATTGTTTATACCATTGTACTTTTTCAGGAGTCTCCGTGAATGTTTTCTTTTGTTCACATTTTGCCTTATTTGATTGAATTTGAGTTTGGTTTGACACATTTTGTAAACAAATTTGATATGGCTTTCAGGTAACTGTATTTCAAAATACTTAAAAAAATAAAAATAGATTTTGTTATGTTTTATGTACATAACTAGAGTCACATATGGCCGACAAATTACTGTATTTATCTCTATTGTAATTGGTCAAATTTCTGTACTTATTCCTACCAGTGCTCAGTATTACTAGGTTACAGCGGTGTTGCAATTCTGTTTACTCTAGTAGATGAATTAAAGCAATGCTAATTCTGAAGGACTCCCCAAGACATTTCAATTTATACAGAAAAAAAGTTGAAAACAAAAATTATATTGTCTTCTTACTACCTTAACCCATTTCAAACTGATGAAACACTTTCCTTCTCTGGATCAATGAGCTCTCTCTCTATACCATGAGAGGTCAGTCGCGATTCAAGTTTAACACTGTAGCTATTCAGCTCTTCGTCAAAACACACAATAAAGGCCAACAATTTAAATCGTAAGGACAAGTTGATCCCTGGATGTTGATATTGTTGTTCAGTTTGATGGAAGGATCTTCTAGAAGATTTGTAGCTTATCAATTGTACGCCTTGGTTCTATACATATTCACTTTTAGTTTCTAACATTTTCGTGTTCGTCTTCATATTTTTCGTAAGTCATTATTCTCTTGTATTAATACTGGCCTACTTTCAAATGATGGACTTTCTGACCTCTTCATTTACCCATCTTGTGATCATACACTATTCACTTAGCATAATTATAGAAAGAAGAGAACAAAAAAAACCCCAAAGCTTTGCTAGTGAATATTCGGATAAAAAACAAATATACCTTAAGGATGCGGCACATAGTAGAGGCAGCAACATCATTGCAACTGCGCGTGACTCCGACCAACAGAAAGGAATGTGGATCATATCCGACAACCAATACTCGAGAAAGCTGTAAACAACAGATGACATAGTATGTCAAAGGATTTTAGATATTTAGACGTGCTATGAAGGAGGAACTAGTACTCTTAAAAAATTAAGAAATTCGAAAAGGGAAAAGATGTTAGGAATAAATCCAGCATAGTATATACATGGGAAATTAACAGGTAAAATTGGTTCATTATCTGTTTAATAACGCATGGTGCCATACATATGTCAGTATTGAGAAAAGACCCATATTATTGGTGGTGTAGTCTTACCCTGTAACTGTTGATACGCCCTGCTGCATCAGAAATCTTGTGATAAACACCCAACGAAAGTCATGTTCTGTAAAGAACAGAATATTCTTTATAAAAAATTGATTTCCTTTCTGATGTATTTTAAAACTTTTAGTAGCGTTTCGCCATGCTATTTTATCTATTCATATTTTATGGTACAAAAATGATTAAACAAAAAGTTTGAACCGACATGAATTTAAGCTGAAAATCATAGTTCTTTGCTTTGCGTGGGCTGTTCTCTATACTGCAATACCTTAGTATTTGCAATCATCGTGGAGTTTTCAGGTTATATCAGGGTTTGTCTTTCTTTGTAAATTAGCAAACTACACCCATAAAAACAATATTTATTTCACAATAGACTAAGTACGACTAGAAATATTGTGTTTTCTCCTTTTAGCCTACATAATTTTACAGTTCAACATGAAGTAAATACACAAATGCTTTATCAACGATTCTTGACTTCATTCATGCAGTATAAATGGTGAAAGCTAAGAACGTACGCCTTTTGTGTACATTTCAGCGAAAAATGGATACAAATTATCGTTATCAATGAGAAATCGTTTTTGTGTACGTAATCATTTTGGCTAAAACTCACATCACATACTAGGTGGTTGTATACTAGCATGGTATCTACATATCTGACACGTCTCTATATATGTTCTGTAGTAATGTTGAGTTTTACAGTGTCCATGTTTTTATATGTATGTGACTTCAGATTTTATAAACATTTCTACTCTTCACAACAATAGATTTTTTTTACTCATTAACACATTCTACGTTTACAAAAGAAACTACAGACAGATAATTACCTTTCAAAGGCTCCCAAAATGCGGTAAATATTCTTGTACAATCTGAAATAGAAATGAAGGGACGACTAAACAATATGTTAATGCTACGCTAGAAATCGTCCGCTTTACCAGTGCTGTGATTGGATATTCTAACCAACACCTAGTGCTGTCTCTATTCAACATTATTTAATACTAATCAGAACAAATATGTAAGATAAATATGATTAATGATATATCGCAACCCCTGTGTTACTATTCGTCGGCATAATGAACAAAATGGTAAAGAGAACTGTCGGACACATTATCGATGCCAATTGAGTAATGAAACGAGTCTAACCACACCAAAAGACTTACCGAGTGGTTCAGATACACCCTTGCCTGGCCTCTCGCAGGTAGTAAATACTGTCAAACAAACGCTAACCATCACAACTGCTATTGCGGTTCCGTACGCACCAAGGACACCGATTTGCTACAAAGAAAACAGGACTGATTTATGTATAGACTTCTAATTTCGATAAGTTGGTACGTTGCTTTGAAATCCTATATCTTTGCTTTACTAACTTCCCTTTCTCTTTCATTGTATCTCACGCATTCTATGTCAAAGCTAAATTGACGATATATGCCACTCTCCGGCTATTCAGTGTCAACATCAAGGCGATACTGAATGGGTATTTGGAAAGCTTTCACAAAATTTCCATATCGTAACGTCGTCAACAAGGGCGTCCAATCATTCAGCGCTTGTGAACTTTTGCTGCGAACATTGTTTTTTTTTTACAAAGGCAATAACTCTATAATCAAGGGATAGCGGGCCCTAACATTAGTACACTGCACATCGTCTTATTATGACCAATGGATACACCGTAGGAAAATGTTCCTGACTGACGTACCGTAAAACAGGTTCCCACTGCAGCACCGCTCAGATTGCCCAGCAGTATCATTGCGCCCATCACACCAGAGTTAAACCCTGTCAATAATAGCTTGTGGTCAAAAATGATGTTATACAGATGTACTAATATTTGACACCTATTCATACTTCTTACCATCTTTGTCATCGAAGAACAGATAGCCGATAACGTTTTCCAAAGCCTTACAATATTTACTAGTATATAAAACTTAATATTTTATGTTTTATTTTTTTAACAAATGTTTAAATACAATTCCTCTACTCATTGAATTAAAGGGATCGCGGTGGGGAGCAATGGTCTTTACTATGGAAAGTGACTGTTTCAGCAAAACGTTTTAAGCTTGTTTTAAGTTGTCTAGCAGCAAATCAATTTTATATTTTACCTCGCTGTAAGGGATGAGATTTTATATTTTACCTCTCTGCGAGGGATGAGATTTGTCGGCGATGAGAGCATTGTACGGCACAGTGATGACAGCGAAAGCCGTGGTAACGACAAGATAAAAGACGACGTATATAGCTGTAAAAATAAACAACATTATATCAGAATATATTTATAACCATAGCTGTAACATAAAATATCACTTTAACACGTATCACTCTAACCATAGAATAAGATAAAGCGAAAATAAATTCATTACCAGTCACACTTTAATACTAGTAAAACACTGAATATGTTTTAATATGAATAAAGATAAACACACTTTAATATTAGTGGGACACTGAATACGTTTTAATATGAATAAAGATAAACACACTTTAATATTAGTAAAACACTGAATACGTTTTAATATGAATAAAGATAAACACACTTTAATATTAGTAAAACACTGAAAACGTTTTAATATGAATAAAGATAAACACACTTTAATATTAGTAAAACACTGAAAACGTTTTAATATGAATAAAGATAAACACACTTTAATATTAGTGGGACACTGAATACGTTTTAATATGAATAAAGATAAACACACTTTAATACTAGTAAAACATTGAATACGTTTTAATATGAATAAAGATAAACACACTTTAATACTAGTGGGACACTGAATACGTTTTAATATGAATAAAGATAAACACACTTTAATACTAGTGGGACACTGCATACGTTTTAATATGAATAAAGATAAACACATTTTAATACTAGTAAAACACTGCATACGTTTTAATATGAATAAAGATAAACACACTTTAATATTAGTGGGACACTGAATACGTTTTAATATGAATAAAGATAAACACACTTTAATACTAGTGGGACACTGAATACGTTTTAATATGAATAAAGATAAACACACTTTAATACTAGTGGGACACTGCATACGTTTTAATATGAATAAAGATAAACACACTTTAATACTAGTGGGACACTGAATATGTTTTAATATGAATAAAGATAAACACATTTTAATATTAGTCAAATACACTGAATACGTTTTAATATGAATAAAGATAAACACACTTTAATACTAGTGGGACACTGCATACGTTTTAATATGAATAAAGATAAACACACTTTAATATTAGTGGGACACTGAATACGTTTTAATATGAATAAAGATAAACACATTTTAATACTAGTGAAACACTGAATATGTTTTAATATGAAAAAATAAAGACACTTTAATACTAGTAAAATACTGAATACAAGAGAAACACACTTTAATACTAGTAAAACATTAGATATGTTTTAAAAGGTAAAACGCAAAGAAACATAACCACCTTAAGGATTTAAATAAACTACTGTAGATAAACGTTAAGGAAATAATGAAATGAAGAGCATATATAAAGAAATTTACCATTCAGATAATGAAAGCAGTACTTTAAAATATATAATTAAAGTAATAAAATGGCAAATCATACGTAAACTGCCGACCGGTTCCGATTCTAGTTCAGATATGAAGGTTTTTTTCTCTGGGAGTAAAATGGAGGCTGGCTGTGATCCTCTGAGGATGGTGTGATGATGTTTAAAAACCCTGGTGTCCGAGTTGTTCCAGTAAGGAAAGCAACGGTGAGCTACGAGATCGCGATCACACTAGAACAGACGTATGTACATTATGATAGAGACAAACAATGGTTTTTGTTTTGAGACATAAAACATTATGATTGAGAGTATTAACCAGTGCAGTTATCACTCTTAAACTATATATATATAATCAAGAACGCCTCTGAACTTGAAACCTTCCTGTTGTGTGGTTTTTAAGAGACTGAATTATATTACCAAGTCAACATAACGCTGATATTCAGAAAAAATGAATTTCTCCAACTGAAATTTCAACCTAGCACATATGTAAGGGAGATAACCCTCAATACAAAATAAGAAGCTTGCTGTGAATGACGTTACAAAACACTTTATATTCTACTCCTTACTTTATAAATCGACGTCACCACAGGTGTGACATATGTAGACCTATGGAGATTGGACATCTATAACGACATTAGATAGCCGCAAAGATTTCTTACCGTATCAGAGGAGTTTTTTGACAGGTCGACTCCCGCTCTCCTTAAAATATAACAAAGATACACATCAATGTGTGAAACTGCTAAATCAGAAATAAATTACTTGAATTACACATCCAAAATTCCAAAATGTGAAGAAATTAAAAAGAACTACTGTCGGCGTAAGTGGGATGGAAGACAGGGGACATCTCTGTACATTAGTTCATATTGGCACAATTTAGAATAAGTATCCCTTGACAGATATGTCTTTACCCTCATTACATGCTTTGATAGCACCCAGAAATTATCTGAAGCATGCGAGATATACTTACAGTAATGTAATTTTTGACGAACTTAACGCCATCCCGATCAATCCCAGGCTACAACATTTGAGAAACAAGATGTCACTATGATTATTATCATCAAACAGGAGAGACAGATATTTTAGAAATCAAATGTCTACAGGACAAGAGAACACCCATTGTTGTTATGTTTCACATTTTACCATGCTTTAAATGGCCTATAAATAAAGCTACAGCAGACTGTTGTATACATTTAGATTATATATTGTTGTATATAAGTATATGTAAGTATAACTATGTATATCTAAATATCAAAGTAGGTATAGGTCCATTTATCTGGACTTGAAGACAAACCAGACTTCATCACCAAGAACATGAAGCCATATCATCAGATCCAGATACTGTACAATGTGCTAAGCTTTCATCAGAGAATTTCATATTGAAGATCCAAGCATCAATTGTTTACCATAATGCGACAGTGCCTGCTATCATTACTGGCCTGCGTTTACCAGCTTGTAGGGTCAATCGGTCACTCAGCATGCCGATTAAAGGACTTGTAATGAACGTCACCGCTGGAACACAATGTATCAGAACATGTCAATAAAGATATTATATAATATCATAATGACATGGCGATCTGGCGACAGACAATTAGAACGTGTGTGCTGTACGACAAGTCAAATATCCGGTTAGAGGTCGATTTCATCATTACAAGTACTAGTTGGACAAAGCGGAGAAACACAGGACGGCACACCAATTATTTACAGCCAATTAAAAACTTCGTTGTTTTTAATCTAAGTTAATGGGTATTTCACCATCATGGCTAAACGTATAATTACTTCCCTTTTAATTTTCACACGTTTGAACCCTAGTATATTTCAAGAGTTCTAGAAGGACGAATATGTATAATATATAGGTAGTAACTGTAAGATACGCTCTGCTGGTTGACTTTAGTAACTGAGATTTACTCAATCAATGCATGCTACGTCTAGCTTCCTATGACTAGTGGTACAACCTAGAACCACTGCACATCTAATCTCAAATAATGTTGTACAATACTTTAGAACTGCAGTTAGGCATACCTATTAACAAGAGGTCTAAAGGGTCTGCATTGTCCATGTGGCTAATGTAGCTATTCAAAGAACTTCAAATATAACAAACAATTTTTTAAATAATTTCCCTAATTAGTTCCGCCCTTGTGATCCAACAGAGGTCAGATTCACTATTCATTAAAACTGCTTCGGACAAAACTTGGAAGAAGGACTTTTAAGAACATGCACTTCCTTGATTGGGCTCACCTCTCCCACCCTAGAAGGCCGGGATGCACCAAATCTAGGCAATATTCATTTATTGTTATAAATTATAAATTTTAAAGAACTTGTAAAATTTCCCCTTTGGACTTCATCGCTTGGGCCCCTGGGAATTGACAGCCAACTTTTACAAAACTTTGTTCCCCTTCATCCACAAATAGGTTAGACCAAATTTGGACGATATCAATTTATTCATAAAGAAGGGTAAGAATTTAAAGAACTAGCAAAATTTCCCCTTGTCCTTCCCTAAGGATGCTTCTGAACACATTTGGTCAAATTTCCTGTAAGTCGTTTATGACTTTTAGCCGTCCAGGTGAGCTATAAAGCCATAAAAGAAAGAGTACAAACACTACCACCGACTGCAGTCATTGGTTAGATACATGTATCAGTAGTTCGAAAAATACTATAACACTGGTGTCCTGTACCTAGACATGTTCTGGTAATGTAGAAGATGGTAACATACCTGCACCACCAGCCACCATACCGCCAAGCCATCGTCCCTTGGCGGCCTCTCCAACCAACGACCGAATCTGGGCAGGGACCACTGTGTGGATATAGAATGAACATTTCCTCTTCATCAATTATGGAATAGCTCTTACAAGATTTAGGTGTATAATTTTTCTACCACACTATAGGCATAGCCATATAACCCTCTGTGTCCCTTCCTTGGCTGTTTGTTTTCACATCGTACAGTTGATTATCACACAGGTAACACAAAGACGTTGAACACTACTGTAACGTCACAATTAGATATATTGAGTATTGCTGATATCATGTGTTTCAATAACACATGATTTATTGTCAAGCCAATCGTATATCCTAATTACAATGTTATGGACATAAGAAGGGTTCCGTTAAGCTGTATTATAATCATGACAATATAAAATTGTCTTTCATGAATTTTCTATTTCTAACAGGTATTAACTCGTCACCTTATGGGCCCACGTACTGAGAAATAAAGCAAGAGAATATCTTACCTTCCACAGACATCCACAGTAACAGAGGGCTGAGTCCAAACCATGCCATATTTAACTTTAGAATATCTTACCTTCCACAGACATCCACAGTAACAGAGGGCTGAGTCCAAACCATGCCATATTTAACTTTAGAATATCTTACCTTCCACAGACATCCACAGTAACAGAGGGCTGAGTCCATACCATGGCATATTTAACTTTAGAATATCTTACCTTCCACAGACAACCATAGAGGGCTAACAGAGGGCTCCACAGTAACAGTCCAAACCATGGACATCCATTTAACTTTAACTTTAGAATATCTTACCTTCCTCAGACATCCACAGTAACAGAGGGCTGAGTCCAAACCATGGCACTTATTCCACAGACATCCACAGTAACAGAGGGCTGAGTCCAAACCATGCCATATTTAACTTTAGAATATCTTTCCTTCCACAGACATCCACAGTAACAGAGGGCTGAGTCCAAACCATGGCATATTTAACTTTAGAATATCTTACCTTCCACAGACATCCACAGTAACAGAGGGCTGAGTCCAAACCATGGCAGATTTAACTTTAGAATATCTTACCTTCCACAGACAACCACAGAAACAGAAGGCTGAGTCCAAACCATGCCATATTTAACTTTAGAATATCTTACCTTCCACAGACATCCACAGTAACAGAGGGCTGAGTCCAAACCATGCCATATTTAACTTTAGAACCACAGTAACAGAGGGCCGAGTCCAAACCATGCCATATTAACTTTGAAATATCTTACCTTCCACAGACAACCATATTAACAGAGGGCTGAGTCCAAACCATGGCAGATTTAACTTTAGAATATCTTACCTTCCACAGACATCCACAGTAACAGAGGGCTGAGTCCAAACCATGGCAGATTTAACTTTAGAATATCTTACCTTCCACAGACATCCAAAGTAACAGAGGGCTGAGTCCAAACCATGCCATATTTAACTTTAGAATATCTTTCCTTCCACAGACATCCACAGTAACAGAGGGCTGAGTCCAAACCATGCCATATTTAACTTTAGAATATCTTTCCTTCCACCTTCCACAGGCATCCACAGTAACAGAGGGCTGAGTCCAAACCATGGCAGATTTAACTTTAGAATATCTTACCTTCCACAGACATCCAAAGTAACAGAGGGCTGAGTCCAAACCATGCCATATTTAACTTTAGAATATCTTTCCTTCCACAGACATCCACAGTAACAGAGGGCTGAGTCCAAACCATGCCATATTTAACTTTAGAATATCTTACCTTCCACAGGCATCCACAGTAACAGAGGGCCGAGTCCAAACCATGCCATATTAACTTTGAAATATCTTACCTTCCACAGACAACCATATTAACAGAGGGCTAAGTCCAAACCATGGCAGATTTAACTTTAGAATATCTTACCTTCCACAGACAACCACAGTAACGGAGGGCTGAGTCCAAACCATGGCAGATTTAACTTTAGAAAATCTTACCTTCCACAGACATCCAAAGTAACAGAGGGCTGAGTCCAAACCATGCCATATTTAACTTTAGAATATCTTTCCTTCCACAGACATCCACAGTAACAGAGGGCTGAGTCCAAACCATGCCATATTTAACTTTAGAATATCTTACCTTCCACAGGCATCCACAGTACAGTATCAGAGGGCTGAGTCCAAACCATGGCATATTTAACTTTAGAATATCTTACCTTCCACAGGCATCCACAGTAACAGAGGGCTGAGTCCAAACCATGCCATATTTAACTTTAGAATATCTTTCCTTCCACAGACATCCACAGTAACAGAGGGCTGAGTCCAAACCATGGCATATTTAACTTTAGAATATCTTACCTTCCACAGGCATCCACAGTAACAGAGGGCTGAGTCCAAACCATGGCAGATTTAACTTTAGAATATCTTTCCTTCCACAGGCATCCACAGTAACAGAGGGCTGAGTCCAAACCATGCCATATTTAACTTTAGAATATCTTTCCTTCCACAGACATCAACAGTAACAGAGGGCTGAGTCCAAACCATGCCATATTTAACTTTAGAATATCTTACCTTCCACAGGCATCCACAGTAACAGAGGGCTGAGTCCAAACCATGGCATATTTAACTTTAGAATATCTTACCTTCCACAGGCATCCACAGTAACAGAGGGCTGAGTCCAAACCATGCCATATTTAACTTTAGAATATCTTTCCTTCCACAGACATCCACAGTAACAGAGGGCTGAGTCCAAACCATGCCATATTTAACTTTAGAATATCTTTCCTTCCACAGACATCCACAGTAACAGAGGACTGAGTCCAAACCATGGCAGATTTAACTTTAGAATATCTTACCTTCCACAGACAGCAGCAGAAACATAAGACTGAGCCCAAACCATGATAGATTTAACAGGAGAACGTGCGCCTTGCTTAAGATCTCTGGCTCCTCTGCTATAATGATCTTTGCTTCTTCGCTTGAAGATCTGAAACAATAAATTAAATGTTACGGGATTTGAGAAAAGGTACAAACAGCATTAATTTATCAACTGTTAGTTAATTAGATAAGTAAAGTATTGCTTTTGATTGATAAATGACGTAAACATTAATGTTATGATTGATTGTTTGTCGTGACAGACTAGTCCCGTTAGATATGATTGGTTGTTTTTCGTGACAGACTAGTCCCATTAGATCTGATTGGTTGTGTGTCGTGACAGACTAGTCCCGTTAAACCTGATTGGTTGTTTGTCGTGACATAGTAGTCCCGTTAGATCTGATTGGTTGTTTGTCGTGAAAGACTTATCCCGTTAGATCGAACTGTTAGTTTGCGTGTTTATGTTATTTAGTCGGTACGTACCAGTACTTTCTATTATTTATTAAATTTAATGTCTATCCGTATGGTCTGTCCTACTGCATCTTATTGATTACCGCGGTACTTGTTTTCGCGAAAAAAATTTCTTGTTGAAGATAGAGACGAGAACTACTAAATACCACCATTAATTGGTAATTAAATAGGCGCGTGCACAGCAGGCTTTCTGGCAGCGCAAAATAAAATCTATTCGGCCACGTAATAAATATCAATTTTCGACTTTTGTCAGGGAAGAATAAACTGAATATTCTTTCCTTTCTTTAGGATTTATGCTGGATTTAATGTGTGAAGTTTAAAAGAGGGAGTGGGGGTAAATTGGAGTGTTTGTTGTAAATAATTGCTACTGTCGGTGATTTACACGATGAATTATTGATATTTTTATTTTTATTTGATTGTGTCTTCCATCAAAAGGATCGCAAGGACCGGTTTATTTCTTTAGTTATCTCTGCCTAACAGAATTAGTCTACGTTATGGATATGTTGAAATTACTATATATATTGAATTACGGGGCCAATACACCTCCCGTTTAGGTTAAGTCTTTTCTCTCAATTATTTTGGAATTTTCTCAGTCGCCTCCTAGTCCTCACCATTTCGGCTCTTGTCATCACTGACGAGTGAGAGAAGGACGAAACAGCTGTTAAATAGTGATAAATTCATTGTTTGGTTATACAATACTGTAACTAAAACACGGTGTTATTCACTTGTATGTCTTTTGTACAATCTTCTAATGGAGGACATATTTTGATTTTGTCCATCCCATCTCGATTTGAGACAAGTCTAGTGTCACAGCAGGCCAAAGTAACACGGCAACATTCTGCTTCTGTAGATATGTCCCACAACACGTTCAGGTCTTACGTTATCCTATTGCAAAATAATGTTAGGACGATTATTACGAAAAAACGGAAGGACGTCATGACATATCATTTCGTCACGGTATTGCACAACGGTCAAGTTGCTTTTCACTATAACCAAAGGGATACTGGCATGCGTTGCAATGTTACCCTAGACCATAATGCTCTCTCTGCCAATCTAAAAGTCAGTGTCAAATTTTCCCGACCAACGGTACACCAGAACACGACCATCATTGCTATCAAGGTGAAATCTGGACAAATTCGCATATCTCTCCTATACCATCCTAAGCGACAACTTGGTGTCATAGACTTGGACTGATGCCGGGACGTCGCAGGGAAGTTGGTCTCTCGCAATCTATTTAGTACGGTTCTGGAGCTGTTCCTTCAATGCCTGGGAATACTTCTAGCATTTGATGAAGAGGACTGAAACCGACTACACACATGCGACGTCCGTATATACGTATTTTGCCTATGTGAAGTCACATGCAGGCATCCTGTTCGTTGGAGTTCCCAAACCATGTTCGTGTGTTGGAAACGTGTCCATAAATCACCATTTATCGTAGTAATGTGCACCACAAAGTGTATTGCAACACTATTGTATATTCCAGCCTTTGGCACGCCAATAGCACAAAAACGTTAATTTTTATCCCAACTTGGCATGTTCATGGCAATTTTTTTCCGGAAAAAGCAATGAATATCAGATAGAGTGCACAGAGTACTTCCCATTAATGAATACGCTGTCACGGTTAGAAACTCTCAAAATATGCGTTGATCATTGAAGCGTAACGAGAGTAACGTTTATAGTTTTACCAATCAAACAAGTTTTAGATACTTCAAAATAGTCTCGCATTCATTGCATAAGATTTTGTAACAATTTTACACCCTAGAAAAAGTTTAGACAATAGACATTATACAAAATCTAAAGAGACTATTTCAGTATTGTATGATGTTACATGAAACACTGGGAGAACACATTCGGTAAGTGAAACGTGTACCGTATGTTAAGTATTACATGAAACACTGGGAGAACACATTCGGTAAGTGACACGTGTACTGTATGTTAAGTATTACATGAAACACTCGGAAAACACATTCGGTAAGTGACACGTGTACTGTATGTTAAGTATTACATGAAACACTGGGAGAACACATTCGGTAAGTGACACGTTTACTGTATGTTAAGTATTACATGAAACACTCGGAGAACACGTTCGGTAAGTGACATGTTCACTGTATGTTAAGTATTACATGAAACACTGGGAGAACACATTCGGTAAGTGACACGTTTACTGTATGTTAAGTATTACATGAAACACTCGGAGAACACATTCGGTAAGTGACACGTTCATTGTATGTTAAGTATTACATGAAACACTCGGAGAACACGTTCGGTAAGTGACACGTGTACTGTATGTTAAGTATTATATGAAACACTCGGAGAACACATTCGGTAAGTGACACGTGTACAGTATGTTAAGTATTACATGAAACACTTGGAAAACGGCGTCTTCTCACTCAGCCAACATATCCTATTTTAGTATAGGGCACAGGTAATGTTGTTACAGGGGGAGAACAATAGGTACTAATTACAGGTACGGCTATATAGTCTGTTTTGGGAAAATAGGCATTTCTCAGATAAACACTTACTTGTAGCATTATCCTAGTATTATATTTTAGAGCTATTACTTATTAGTGTGAATCTTTGTGGGTCACGCAAGATAAATATTTTTGTGAAGTTTTACAAATACATTTGAAAATATGAAAAATGCCTTTGGAAAGTAATTGATGAGAAAGTTAATTTATAAGTGTCAATATCTTCATTGTGATACACAAAATATAAGCCCATATGACACAAATCACCTAGACATATTTCATATTTCAGAAATAGATACCTCAAAGTTCTACAGTTTGTGCTATTACACTTTACAATATTTCACAACACTATGAAATATACATCCAAACTCGTTTTCAGAAATGGTGCACACAGTTCAACTAGTCACGTTGTAACACTTGAGTATTTCACAGCACTATTGAATATGCAGATATTATACCTCAGATATTATATTCCAGTCAGATATCAGTCAGATATTATATCCCAATCAGATATTATATCCCAGTCAGATATTATATCCCAGTCAGATATTATATCCCAGTCAGATATTATATCCCAGTCAGATATTATATACCAGTCAGATATTATATCCCAGTCAGATATTACATCCCAGTCAGATATTAGATATTATATCCCAGTCAGATATTATATCCCAGTCATATGTTATATCCAAGTCAGATATTATATCCCAGTCAGATATTATATATCCAGTCAGATATTATATCCCAGTCAGATATTATATCCCAGTCAGATATTATATCCCAGTCAGATATTATATCCCAGTCAGATATTATATCCCAGTCAGATATTATATCCCAGTCAGATATCAGTCAGATATTACATCCCAGTCAGATATTATATCCCAGTCAGATATTATATCCCAGTCAGATATTATATCCCAGTCAGATATCATATCCCAGTCAGATATTATATCCCAGTCAGATATTATATCCCAGTCAGATATTATATCCCAGTCAGATATTATATCCCAGTCAGATATTATATCCCAGTCAGATATTATATCCCAGTCAGATATTATATCCCAGTCAGATGTTATATCCCAGTCAGATATTATATCCCAGTCAGATATTATATCCCAGTCATATATTACATCCCAGTCAGATATTACATCCCAATCAGAAATTATATCCCAGTTAGATATTATATCCCAGTCAGATATTATATCCCAGTCATATGTTATATCCCAATCAGATATTATATCCCAGTCAAATATTATATACTAGTCAGATATTATATCCCAGTCAGATGTTATATCCCAGTCAGATATTATATCCCAGTCAGATGTTATATCCCATCCCAGTCAGATATTATATCCCATTCATCTATCAGTCAGATATTATATCCCAGTCAGATATTATATCCCAGTCAGATGTTATATCCCAGTCAGATATTATATCCCAGTCAGATGTTATATCCCAGTCAGATATTATATCCCAGTCAGATATTATATTCTAGTCAGATATTATATCCCAGTCAGATGTTATATCCCAGTCAGATATTATATCCCAGTCAGATATTATATCCCAGTCAGATATTATATCCCAGTCAGATATCATAACCCAGTCAGATATTATATCCCAGTCAGATATTATATCCCAGTCAGATATTATATCCCAATCAGATATTATATCCCAGTCAGACATTATATCCCAGTCAGATTTCAGTCAGATATTACATCCGAGTCAGATATTATATCCCAGTCAGATATCAGTCAGATATTATATCCCAGTCAGATATTATATCCCATATTATATCCCAGTCAGATATTATATCCCAGTCAGATATTATATCCCAGTCAGATATTATATCCCAGTCAGATATTATATCCCAGTCAGATATCAGTCAGATATTATATCCCAGTCAGATATCACATACCAGTCAGATATTATATCCCAGTCAGATATTATATCCCAGTCAAATATTATATCCCAGTCAGATATTTTATCCCAGTCATTTATCAGTCAGATATTATATCCCAGTCAGATATTTTATCCCAGTCAGATATTATATCCCAGTCAGATATCAGTCAGATATTATATCCCTATCAGATATTATATCCCAGTCAGATATTATATCCCTCTCAGATATTATATCCCAGTCAGATATTAAAGTAAGATATTATATCCCAGTCAGATATTATATCCGATATATTATATCCCAGTCAGATGTTATATCCCAGTCAAATATCAGTCAGATATTATATCCCAGTCAGATATTATATCCCAGTCAGATATTATATCCCAGTCAGATATTATATCCCTGTCAGATGTTATATTCCAGTCAGATATTATATCCCAGTCAGATATTATATCCAGTCAGATATTATATCCCAGTCAGATATTATATCCCAGTCAGATATTATATCCCAGTCAGATATTATATCCCAGTCAGATATTATATCCCAGTCAGATATTATATCCCAATCACATATTATGTCCCAGTCAGATAGTGTATACCAGTCAGATATTATATCCCAGTCAGATATTATATCCCAGTCAGATATTATATCCCAGTCAGATATTATATTCTAGACAGATATTATATCCCAGTCAGATGTTATATCCCAGTCAGATATTATATCCCAGTCAGATATTATATCCCAGTCAGATGTTATATCCCAGTCAGATATTATATCCCAGTCAGATATTATATTCCTGTCAGATGTTATATCCCAGTCAGATATTATATTCCAGTCAGATATTATATCCCAGTCAGATATTATATCCCAGTCAGATGTTATATCCCAGTCAGATATTATATCCCAGTCAGATGTTATATCCCAGTCAGATATTATATCCCAGTCAGATATTATATCCCAGTCAGATATTATATCCCAGTCAGATATTATATCCCTGTCGGATATTATATCCCAGTCAGATATTACATCCCAGTCAGATATTATATCCCAGTCAGATATCATATCCCAGTCAGATATCATATCCCAGTCAGATATTATATTCTAGTCAGATATAATATCCCAGTCAGATGTTATATCCCAGTCAGATATTATATCCCAGTCAGATGTTATATCCCAGTCAGATATTATATCCCAGTCAGATATTATATCCCAGTCAGATATTATATCCCAGTCAGATATTATATCCCAGTCAGATATTATATCCCAGTCAGATATTATATCCCAGTCAGATATCAGTCAGATATTATATCCCAGTCAGATATTATATCCCAGTCAGATATTATATCCCAGTCAGATATCAGTCAGATATTATATCCCTGTCAGATATTACATCCCAGTCAGATATTATATCCCAGTCAGATATTACATCCCATTTAGATATTATATTCCAATCAGATATTATATCCCAGTCAGATATCACATACCAGTCAGATATTATATCCCAGTCAGATATTATATCCCAGTCAAATATTATATCCCAGTCAGATATTATATCCCAGTCAGATATTATATCCCAGTCAGATATTATATCCCAGTCAGATGTTATATCCCAGTCAGATATTATATCCCAGTCAGATATTATATCCCAGTCAGATATTATATCCCAGTCAGATATTATATCCCAGTCAGATATTATATCCCAGTCAGATATTATATCCCAGTCAGATATTATATCCCTGACAGATGTTATATTCCAGTCAGATATTATATCCCAGTCAGATATTATATCCCAGCCAGATATTATATCCCCGTCAGATATTATATCCCTGACAGATGTTATATTCCAGTCAGATATTATATCCAGTCAGATATTATATCCCAGTCAGATATCAGTCAGATATTACATCCATGTCAGATATTATATCCCAGTCAGATATCAGTCAGATATTATATCCCAGTCAGATATTATATCCCAGTCAGATATTATATCCCAGTCAGATATTATATCCCAGTCAGATATTATATCCCAGTCAGATATTATATCCCTGTCAGATATTATATCCCAGTCAGATATTATATCCCAGTCAGATATCAGTCAGATATTATATATCCCAGTTAGATATTATATCCCAGTCAGATATTATATCCCTGTCAGATATTATATCCCAGTCAGATATTATATCCCAGTCAGATATTATATCCCAGTCAGATATTATATTCCAGTCAGATATATCCCAGTCAGATATTATATCCCAGTCAGATATTATATCCCAGTCAGATATTATATACCTGTCAGATGTTATATCCCAGTCAGATATTATATTCTAGTCAGATATTATATCCAAGTCAGATGTTATATCCCAGTCAGATATTATATCCCTGTCAGATATTATATCCAGTCAGATATTATATCCCAGTCAGATATTATATCCCTGTCAGATATTATATCCCATTATATCCCAGTCAGATATTATATCCCAGTCAGATATTATATTCTAGTCAGATATTATATCCCAGTCAGATGTTATATCCCAGTCAGATATTATATCCCAGTCAGATGTTATATCCCAGTCAGATATTATATCCCAGTCAGATATTATATCCCAGTCAGATATTATATCCCAGTCAGATATTATATCCCAGTCAGATGTTATATCCCAGTCAGATGTTATGTCCCAGTCAGATATTATATCCCAGTCAGATATTATATCCCAGTCAGATATTATATCCCAGACAGATATTATATCCCCGTTAGATATTATATCCCAGTCAGATATCAGTCAGACATTATATCCCAGTCAGATATCAGTCAGATATTATATCCCAGTCAGATATTATATCCCAGTCAGATATTATATCCCTCTCAGATATTATATCCCAGTCAGATATTACAGTAAGATAGTATATCCCAGTCAGATATTATATCCGATATATTATATCCCAGTCAGATGTTATATCCCAGTCAAATATCAGTCAGATATTATATCCCAGTCAGATATTATATTCCAGTCAGATATCAGTCAGATATTATATCCCAATCAGATATTATATCCAGTCAGATATTATATACCAGTCAGATATTATATCCCAGTCAGATATTATATCCCAATCAGATATTATATCCCAGTCAGACATTATATCCCAGTCAGATAGAGATATTATATCCCAGTCAGATATTATATCCCAGTCAGATATCATATCCCAGTCAGATATTATATCCCAGTCAGATATTATATCCCAGTCAGATGTTATATCCCAGTCAGATATTATATCCCAGTCAGATATTATATCCCAGTCAGATATTATATCCCAGTCAGATATTATATCCCATCAGATATGTTATCAGTCAGATATTATATCCCATAAACATTATATCAGTCAGTATTATATCCCAGTCCAGTCAGATATCATATCCCAGTCAGATATTATATCCCAGTTAGATATCAGTCAGATATTACATCCCAGTCAGATATTATATCCCAGTCAGGTATCAGTCAGATATTATATCCCAGTCAGATATCATATCCCAGTCAGATATTAAATCCCTGTCAGATATCATATCCCAGTCAGATATTATATCCCAGTCAGATATCAGTCAGATATTACTGTATTACTGTATGATGGCATTCCTTAAGTGATATGTATGATGGATAGTGTTTGTTAAACCTTGTGCTAACAAAGAGGAAGAAGGCAGTGATATAAGGTGCAGTTCTGTTTTGCTTGAAACCATTATACATTGTGTGAGATTACTGAAACAAAGTCATACATACTGTTCTTCCGTATACAACTTTTTGCCTTTCTGTCCATCTAGGCTATTCATTTCCATTTATAGCCACGTCCTAAGGAGGATCTTTATATCAAAGAGACGCTGTGAATCCAGCAGGACTAGACGAGAACCAATCTGTAAACCAATGGAATCAGTATCAGTACCGACAACGTGGATAAAGTTCACGATACAAACAGGGACGGAGAGCTGTTCAAATAAAGTCTATAAAACGTCTGTATCAGGTTTATCTCGGCTGCCTGCATCCTAAAAATGTTATTGTTTATCTGCGTATAAACAACGTATCTATAAATAAGGTTATTGTTTATCTGAGTATAAACAACGTATCTATAAATAAGGTTATTGTTTATCTGAGTATAAACAACGTATCTATAAAAAGGTTATTGTTTATCTGAGTATAAACAACGTATCTATAAAAAGGTTATTGTTTATCTGAGTATAAACAACGTATCTATAAAAAGGTTATTGTTTATCTGAGTATAAACAACGTATCTATAAAAAGGTTATTGTTTATCTGAGTATAAACAACGTATCTATAAAAAGGTTATTGTTTATCTGAGTATAAACAACGTATCTATAAAAAGGTTATTGTTTATCTGAGTATAAACAACGTATCTATAAAAAGGTTATTGTTTATCTGAGTATAAACAACGTATCTATAAAAAGGTTATTGTTTATCTGAGTATAAACAACGTATCTATAAAAAGGTTATTGTTTATCTGAGTATAAACAACGTATCTATAAAAAGGTTATTGTTTATCTGAGTATAAACAACGTATCTATAAAAAGGTTATTGTTTATCTGAGTATAAACAACGTATCTATAAAAAGGTTATTGTTTATCTGAGTATAAACAACATATCTATAAATAGGGTTATTGTTTATCTGAGTATAAACAACATATCTATAAATAAGGTTATTGTTTATCTGAGTATAAACAACGTATCTATAAAAAGGTTATTGTTTATCTGAGTATAAACAACGTATCTATAAAAAGGTTATTGTTTATCTGAGTATAAACAACATATCTATAAATAGGGTTATTGTTTATCTGAGTATAAACAACATATCTATAAATAAGGTTATTGTTTATCTGAGTATAAACAACATATCTATAAAAAGGTTATTGTTTATCTGAGTATAACAACATATTTATAAATAAGGTTATTGTTTATCTGAGTATAAACAACATATTTATAAGTAAAGTTATTTTTACCTTCAATATAAACATAATATTGTTACTTAGTATTAAGATAATTCCTGAATAGTTTATTACCAAATTTTGTAACCCCACCCAATATTGTAACCCCTCTAAATATTATAACCCAACACACCATTACAACTCCCACCAAATTGAATAACCCCGCCCAGTGTTGTAACCCCACCCTTTATTGCAACCCTACTTACTCTCGTGACCCCACCTTCCATCGTAATCCATTTTCGTCACACCACCTACTATCGGAACCACGCCAACTGTTTCGTTACCCACCCACTTTTGCAACCTTTGTCACCCTACCCGTTATCGTCACCCCATGCACTATTGTACCTCCATAATATTGTAATTATTATAATCATTACTACAATTCCCTTAAACAATAGATCTGTTCGATTTGGTAACAATTGATTTTAAATATTTAGCAAGTTATTTACCTTGTTGAATTGCAGAGTACTGTATAATTGTAACTTTGATGAAACGTCACGCTGCTGCATCGCCGTCAAATTGGTAACATGTAGTAAAACGAAAACATTTCGCTAGAATTTTAGCATATTAAAATGGTGATAGGAAAGTAAAAAACTAAGAAATAGATAAGAACATTCCGCACCATGCACTTTCAAATGTTGGCAGAATGCTTTGTGCAGTTATATCCACTAGCGTAACCAGGTTAACATAGTGGATACAGGATGATGTAACGTTACTGTGTTAACATAGTAGATACAGGATGATGTAACGTTACCGTGTTAACATAGTGGATACAGGAGGCTGTAACGTTACCGTGTTAACATAGTGGATACAGGAGGTTGTAACGTTACTGTGTTAACATAGTGGATACAGGAGGTTGTAACGTTACCGTGTTAACATAGTGGATACACGAGCTGTAACGTTACTGTGTTAACATAGTGGATACAGGAGGCTGTGTTCCTTTACATTCGGTAACATTACTGTGTTAACATAGTGGGTTCCGGAGGCTGTGTTCCTTTACATTTGGTAACGTTACCGTGTTAACATAGTGGATACAGGAGGCTGTGTTCCTTTACATTCAATAACGTTACTGTGTTAACATAGTGGATACAGGAGGCTGTGTTCCTTTACATTCGATAACGTTACTGTGTTAACATAGTGGGTACCGGAGGCTGTGTTCCTTTACTTTCGGTAACGTTACTGTGTTAACATAGTGGGTTCCGGAGGCTGTGTTCCTTTACATTCGGTAACGTTACTGTGTTAACATAGTGGATACAGAAGGCTGTGTTCCTTTACATCTAGTAGCGTTACTGTCAAACAATAGTAAGCAGAAAAGTGGGTACCGTTGCATGGATAGAATGTTGAGCTTACAGTAATGGGTGTTGCAGACTTGGTCGTTGATATGTAAAATAAAATTCCAATAAAGGCAGTTGTATAGGCCTGAATTCCACTAATCAAATAGCTGTTATACCAGCTTTGTATTGTCATAGATATCACGCAAAAACATCATGTAAATATTGATCAGTTTACCAAGATATCTCCTCTGGTCTCTACAGAAGTCTCAGTTAAACTCCATGTTCTGTCCTAATGTTTCTCCGTCACAAAAATCAATTACATTGCGTCTATATAATGTATCTTATATATTGTAGTGAATGAGGTACGATAAAATTAATACAATTAGAAATAGCTTTAGTTGGAAGTAATTTCTGCTATAGAAAGGTACATTCAAGATAAAGATGATATATCAAAAATATCACACATTACTGTATCAGTCTGAGGTACACATTACTGTATCTGTCTGAGGTACACATTACTGTATCAGTCTGAGGTACACATTACTGTATCAGTCTGAGGTACACATTACTGTATCAATCTGAGGTACACATTACTGTATCAGTCTGAGGTACACATTACTGTATCAGTCTGAGGTACACATTACTGTATCAGTCTGAGGTACACATTACTGTATCTGTCTGAGGTACACATTACTGTATCTGTCTGAGGTACACATTACTGTATCAGTCTGAGGTACACATTACTGTATCAGTCTGAGGTACACATTACTGTATCAGTCTGAAGTACACATTACTGTATCAGTCTGGATACGCATTACTGTATCAGTCTGAGGTATACATTACTGTATCAGTCTGAGGTACACATTACTGTATCAGTCTGAGGTACACATTACTGTATCAGTCTGAGGTACACATTACTGTATCAGTCTGAGGTACACATTACTGTATCAGTCTGAGGTACACATTACTGTATCAGTCTGAGGTACACATTACTGTATCAGTCTGAGGTACACATTACAGTATCAGTCTGAGGCACACATTACTGTATCAGTCTGAGGTACACATTACTGTATCAGTCTGAGGTACACATTACTGTATCAGTCTGAGGTACACATTACTGTATCAGTCTGAGGTACACATTACTGTATCAGTCTGAGGTACACATTACTGTATCAGTCTGAGGTACACATTACTGTATCAGTCTGAGGTACACATTACTATATCAGTCTGAGGTACACATTACTGTATCAGTCTGAGGTACACATTACTGTATCAGTCTGAGGTACACATTACTGTATCAGTCTGAGGTACACATTACTGTATCAATCTGAGGTACACATTTCTGTATCAGTCTGAGGTACACATTACTGTATCAGTCTGAGGTACACATTACTGTATCAGTCTGAGGTACACATTACTGTATCAGTCTGAGGTACACATTACTGTATCAGTCTGAGGTACACATTACTGTATCAGTCTGAGGTACACATTACTGTATCAGTCTGAGGTACACATTACTGTATCAGTCTGAGGTACACATTACTGTATCAGTCTGAGGTACAAATTACTGTATCAGTCTGAGGTACACATTACCGTATCAGTCTGAGGTACACATTACTGTATCAGTCTGAGGTACACATTACTGTATCAGTCTGAGGTACACATTACCGTATCAGTCTGAGGTACACATTACTGTATCAGTATGATGTACACATTACTGTATCAATCTGGATACACATTACTGTATCAGTCTGTATACGCATTACTGTATCAGTCTGGATACGCATTACTGTATCTGTCTGAGGTACACATTACTGTATCAATCTGGATACACATTACTGTATCAGTCTGTATACACATTACCGTATCAGTATGAGGTACACATTACTGTATCAGTCTGAGGTACACATTACTGTATCAGTCTGAGGTACACATTACTGTATCAGTATGATGTACACATTACTGTATCAGTATGATGTACACATTTCTGTATCAGTCTGAGGTACACATTACTGTATCAGTCTGAGGTACACATTACTGTATCAGTCTGAGGTACACATTACTGTATCAGTCTGAGGTACACATTACTGTATCAGTCTGAGGTACACATTACTGTATCAGTCTGAGGTACACATTACTGTATCAGTCTGAGGTACACATTACTGTATCAGTCTGGATACGCATTACTGTATCAGTCTGAGGTACACATTACTGTATCAGTCTGAGGTACACATTACTGTATCAGTCTGAGGTACACATTACTGTATCAGTCTGAGGTACACATTACTGTATCAGTCTGAGGTACAAATCACTGTATCAGTCTAAGGTACACATTACTGTATCAGTCTGAGGTACACACTAATGTATCAGTCTGAGGTACACATTACTGTATCACACATTACTGTATCAGTCTGAGGTACACATTACTGTATCAGTCTGAGGTACACATTACTGTATCAGTCTGAGGTACAAATTACTGTATCAGTCTGAGGTACACATTACTGTATCAGTCTGAGGTACACATTACTGTATCAGTCTGAGGTACACATTACTGTATCAGTCTGAGGT